GTCAGTCTCGGGGTTGATTACAGAGAAGATGCTATAGAGGTGTAGCATGCACAGATTCCATTATATAAAAGTATAGGGTGGGGCAGGAGTAACCTGCAATCTGTGGCCTTGTTATAGTGGGCACTGGGTGCACTATCTTTGTTACAGTTGCTACAAAAGTTCATGTTATTTAAGTTTTTCCAATGCGATTGTTAAATGGGAGAGACACATTGCCAGTTTGGAAAGCGATTGTATCATCTCTGGTTTCCATTTAATGCTCTGGTGGTAAAACATGAAACCTGTCATTAAGTAAATTTGTAAAATGACAGAAAGCAAGGCCATACCTTATGGCTTTCTTCAAAGGGATTCAAATGACACTATTCACTATATTCATCATTTAAACAATATCCCCATTTTTACATTGTCATTATATATTTCATTCAATTATATATTAGTTTTTATCAAAATAGAAGCAAAATAAAGTTATTAATTAAATAACAAAGAGATCTAATAAAACATTTTTAACATGTCATGTAATGCAAGTCCACTTTGTTTGTCATTCAAATAGGTGCTGATTAAATTAGTATAATATAATTTTATTGTCATGTTTTATCCATCATTAAATGGCAATTTGAAATGAATTTCAATTTAATGACTAATAAATCATGATATGTTAGGTATAGGTAAGAAACAAAATGTTTAAAGGAAATGTAACCAAACTATGAATTAAAACAGTCCTAACATTAACAGGAATTTACATTGTGAGTTATAATCAAGGATGTATTTGTAAGTCATACTTGTAATGTTTAGTACCAGTATGCATATTAATTAAAGACAGATATTTGTGTATTGCTCTTCATGGACTTGGAAACTTCTGAAAAACAACATGAAGTTTCTAAGTTAATGAACAGAACAGTGAGTTAATAAACAAAACAGATTTTTAAGAATACCCACTCATTCATTGTTTTATATGTATACACGAGAAGATACAGCAATAAGAAGATAAGAATCTGATGAATTTGGCCACCTTCAAGACTCTTATCCAATTCATCACCCATAGAACAATAACACCTACAGTGTCAATGCCATACTGGTACCAGTAGTTTACATGATGCAGCCATGGGTACTGTAGCATAATGGCACATCTGCATATTTGAAGCAGCCATAAATATGTAAAGTATGAATGGAACTCCATTGCCCATTAAATCTGATTATATACATGATACCGCATAGGGTCATAAAAGATAATTTTTATCATGGTTGTGATTTTGGCATATATCACTAGAAGTAAGATCAAGAATTGATAGCTATAAAATCTGACATGGATATTTGAATTATACCATGCCATTGCTAAGTTTGGCATCTGGGAATATAAATTGATATTAAATCTAAATTTCATTTTACCGCAGTTGTTTTTAGATGAGAATGCATATTTTGTAAGAATAAGCATTTTTTTTTCAGAAAATAAAAATAAATTAATAAAGGGTCCACATTGTCTTTAACTTATTATTAAAAAGAATTAAATATCCCCCATGTCTTTACCTTATTATTATTAAGATATAATACAGTCAGATTGGTCAAGGTGGGCATCATGGAAATATCCTCTATCTCATTCATGCCCAGGTTCAACTCAGTCAGGTTGTAGCTTCTTTCAAGGCCATCCAAACGCTTGATAAAGTTGTGAGAAAGATTCAGTGTCTGTAGATGAGATAGCACCTCTATGGATTCAAATCTAAAAAAAAAAATAATAATGAAAAAAATTATGTACGATAGAAGTATAAGTATTTGTTGATACAGTGTTTGGCAGCTTTAGTGATTGTTGAGTGTGTGTCATTCTCTGACAAGATTTGTGTTCTGTAAACAAAACTTTCCAGGGGTAAAGTATGCTTTTATGACATTTGTAAAGAAGCCCATTCTGTCATGTTTTTGTCCATACATGATGCAAGTAGATTTAACAGATTCTAAATGTGTTTCTCCTCTAACACAATTGCTGACTACCAAACTTTTCTACATGTATCTCATTTTCTCAAAAATAGTAAGCACAAATTAAACATGTTCTGATTACTGAGAGAGTTTTGATTAGAATTCTTTTTAACCAGGTTGATAACTTTATATGTTTTTCTTTAATCACACTGCATTTAACCTGAAGTGTGTATTGAAAATGAGAAACGGAGAAAAAGTTCAATCATAATAAAACAAAAGTATGTACATTGTACAAATGTATGTTGGAATGTACAAATACCTCTGAATCCTATTTAGTGATGCATCCAATACTCGCAGGTGTTTCAGTGGGTATAATGCTTCATAATCAAGATTTTGCAGCTCATTCAAAGAAAAATCTGCTTTGAGGATTCTGGAGGGTTGCTCAGTGATAGTAGCTATCCTTGGAAGTGGTTTGCTGAAGGAATGGTATGTTTACACTTACATATATAATAAAAATGATTTAAGTCTAAGTCTAACAATGAAGTCAAACTCCATCTACAGGACATAACCCAGGACATAAATATTGATTTTTGTATAGTCACAAAATTTAGTGTTATACAGATTGTCTATCCATGGCCATATATAACCAAATCCTCAAAATTGTTATTTTTTCAAGATTAATCAAAATGTGATATGACAAAATATTGGGCAAGTCCATACAAATAGAAGTAAAAATCCATCAGATGGGTAAAACCTTGGTCCTACATCTAAAGTGGGTTAATTCAGTATAAACTACCAATTAAATCACCAAAACCTTGATATTTCCCCCCATGATTCACCCGTAAAGTTGATTACAGTGGTTGGAGAATTGACTTGTGTTAATTGGTTCTCAAAATAAATTTAAAAAAAAATGAAAAGGATGTCTTGTAGGTAGATAGATTGAATTGATCTATTGTTCATGAAAAAAACATGAAATTAAGTAATTGACTGCAATTTTCAACTTCAACATTTTTTTTCACAAAAATAAAGAAATACACCTACTAGTACAATGCACCTTTCCCTTCCCATGTTGTGAGCCATTTTATATATATAAATGCATGTATCTTTCATTTCTTATTTAAATATGACACATTTCCCCTGTAACCGATAGTGTATGTATTCAACTATTTATACCTCTCATCTCCCCAATTAAATCCCCACTTGATCCGCTGTATCTGGCACATGCGTAGGTCAAGCTGGTAGTAATGCCCCCTTCCAACATCCCACTCTGAGGGGACTATGGGGAGAGTAGACAGCTTCTTATCAACAAACTCTTTACTGATAGTGGAAGACATGTTGAGTTGCTGCAGTATTGCTCCAGTTAGACTTACATGTACCAGTACTATGTTGAATCTGATTTACACCACGTACACTATAAATAAATGAGAAGATTTAATAAATTTCTAAACTCATGTTTCGCATGGAAATGATATATATAAATCAATGACTATATATATATATTCATCGTGTTCTTTGCAATCAAACACACTAACTATATGTCTTCAATGAAGTTCAAACATGGATTGTTTACATGTTGCCATGTCTGAAATTTCTTAGTAGGGCAAAGCATTTGAAATTTCAAACCGATCATTAGGGTTATTCTTTTCAAATTGGCAATGCACAGTAAATCAACACAAATCCAGTGTTAAAAGATACATATTGCAAAATTCTGAAATAACTTCTATTGCAGATACACTAAATGCCAAGAATTTTGCCAGATAGTACCCATCATCTTGTCTCCATCAAGCAGTGCGCCATATTGGATGTTATTACAATACTCGCAAATTATTGGACGAACAGGCGCACCTTCCACTTCGCGGAATACGGCGCGAGCCAACCAGTGCAATGGCGGACGTCCATTGATCCAGTTTTCTCTCCACGTGTGAAAAATATATTTGGCCGACTGCTGCGGAACAAAGCCTCCGATTTCTAAGAGAATTTACAGACAGGTTCAGGAAGATTCAGAGAAGCAATAGGATCATTTTTGGATAGATCTGTAGTCGTCGTACAAAATACTCAGAGTTTTATTTGTCGCACATTTTCTTAGCGAAAATCTTTGCAAAACAACACGTGGTGTTCTAAAGGTTTTTTGGTGCAAACTGCGGCTTACAATGGCGGCTAATTTGATTTTAGAAGATGGTACTTCTTATACTGGGAAGTCATTTGGGGCTGAAATAGACATGGCTGGTGAAGTTGGTATGTATTGAAAATGAGTGAAATGTGATGAATTTATTAAAGAAATGTACACAGTGGGAATGGGCGATGCTTTACGTACTCTAGTACCGATAAGCCATATATACAGAGGTGTGATTTAATTTTTTTTGCAAGAGCTGTATTTGGGAAACACATTCCTGAAGATTTATCATAATCACATTGAAATTTTATTCTTGAGTTCTATTAATTATAAATATTGTTTTTATTTTACTTTTATTTTCATCTTGAGAGAAATTTACATGCTATAGCCAGTGCTACGTACATGTACAGTACATAATTGTATTAAATACCTAACTTTTGACATACAAAATTTTAGAGAGAAAATCTTTATATCTTTTTCAGTATTTCAGACAGGTATGGTTGGCTACCCGGAATCTCTAACAGATCCGTCTTACAGCTCACAGATCCTTGTTTTGACCTATCCCCTTATTGGGAACTATGGCATTCCAGACCCTGAGAAGGATGCTCTTGGACTGAGCAGATGGTTTGAGTCGTCCAAGATCCATGTGGCAGCTTTGATTGTGGGTGACTATACAGAGGCCTATAGTCACTGGAGTGCCAAGAAATCTCTGCATGATTGGCTGAAAGAGCATAATATTCCAGCCATTTATGGTATTACATGAAGTTTGCATTTATAGTTGTCTTTCTCTGTTGATATATTAAAAGATTACTGCCATGTGTATATTTTAAACTACATTACAATATATATATATTTCTGTTTTAACCACATGCATACATTCCTATTCTTATTATTGTAAAGATTTTTTATGCAAATAAGGAAAAATGGCAATATTTTAAAGCATTGTGAGACTTGTTAAAAAAATTTAGAGAAGCTTTTTTTTCATTGCCTGCTTAGCATTTTGAAAATTATCTTTAAACTGTAGTGATTAAAAACATGATGCTAAGTATGGAAAGGTGGGGATATTTATTATCAATTAGTGTACTGAAAAATAAGATGCTCTTATGTAATTTAAATGGTATGTTATTCATTCGTGTCTTTTTTTTCTTAAAATTAGGCATTGACACAAGATCTCTGACCAAAAAAATCAGGGAAAATGGGACCATGCTTGGAAAGGTATTTGTTGATGTTAAACTCCCAATTTTAGAATCAGTGTTAGGACAAACATTGTGATATGCATCAGTTCAGGCTTAATTATAAAGATTTCTTTATTTTATATTTTCAGCAAATTTACATATTCAAATGATAGAGATTTAACAGTTTATTACCACAGAACAAAACTTGAGGATTTTTTTCTCAAATGAAATGACATAAGCATTAATACTATTTGAAATTGTTATTAAAAGGTTATTCAACATGCAACAAATCCAGACAGCATTCCATTTGATGACCCTAACATCAGAAATCTGGTGGCTGAGGTCTCAGTAAAGGTAAGTGAAGGCATGGCAAGGCAAGGAGCAGGGTTGTCAAAGTCTTCTGTTAATATGTATGCTTAGCATTTACTAAGCACATGTATCAGTTCATTTGGTTTTCATTTGCTGTTATATTCTAAATTATATATTGAACAACAGGTCTGTGCATTTTGAGTATTGTGATGGCAAATCTGAGGGAATTTTTTTCCACTGTCAGATTTCAATCTGTGATATTCTGAAAATGCTTTGATACCTGCATAGATTTTGCAGATGTTTGAATAATTAAATAATAGGAATCAATGAACAGGTTTATATAGCTGAAATTTAAAGGCTTTTGCTGGTAGTGCTGTGTATTTGGTATTATTTAGATTTGTCAAGTAGAAATTTAGTAAATGCTGTAAATATAATATTGCATGAAAATATATTTTATTTTGAACATCTTTCCTCTTTGATAATCTTATATAAACAAGTGGCTTCAAAATTATCAACGTAAAATTTCATTAATTGAGTACTGAATTAGAATGTATTGAGCCTTTTTAATGCCTTATCAAAGCATCGCTTGAATTTAAGATTTGAATGCCACCAAATATAGTTTAAGGAAGAGCAATGTATGCACCAGTATCAATTGGTGTATTGAAAAAGAGGATGTAAATGGTATGATATTCATTATACGTTTGTATTTTGTCTCAGGAACCAATTGTTTACAACCCAAAGGGAGATGTGAAGATTGTTGCAGTAGACTGTGGGATCAAAAATAACCAAATTCGTTGTCTCTGTGAGCGGGGAGCATCAGTGAAAGTGGTGCCTTGGAATTATAAATTAGAGTCATCAGGTAAGAGTTGTCTGTCTTTGATGACATATTTGTCACAAGACTGATTTGTTTGTAAAAAAATACATTTTTGAAATTTACTGAAATATTTAGTCAAATTTTTATTAGCTTGAAATATTACCCAGTTGGATAACTCTTATTCATTTAAATTTTATTTTGTGCTGAACCACAGTAAAACCACTGTTCTTATGTTTTTGTGAAATGATGATGGTGCCACTTTAATGGGCTTTATTGCATAAAAGTGAAAATAACTCGCCTTTTAAATTTTTATATAATGTATACTATAGTGAAATAATTATAATGTATAACTGTGTTACAATAACTTTTTTCAGAATATGATGGCCTTTTCCTCAGCAATGGACCTGGCGATCCAAAGATGTGTGCTGAAACCATAGCTAATGTAAAGAGAGTGATAAAAGAGGAAGACAACAAGCCAGTATTTGGAATATGTCTTGGTCATCAGCTCTTGTCTTCTGCTGCAGGGTGCAAGACCTATAAATTGAAGTGAGTGTGACTCACCCTGAGCTTCAGAGCTAACTTGACACTAACCTTTTTACTGTAGCCTATCTCCATCGTGTCAAGTAACCTCTGACGAAAATAGTTTGACCTAGTTTATATAAGCCAATCGAATCCACGTTTCAAAATTTTTCACCAAAGTTTGGTGAAAACGCTGATTGGTTGATCGTCAATCGGCAATCCTCGGCTGATTCCGCAAGCTCCATACTAACAACATAGTTATTGTCGAGTGCGGAGACATCCGAGTAGTTCCGAGTGCATAACCGTACACAAAGAAAGCATGGAGTATATCGGAATTGAAACCAGAGCAGTTTGATGCCCTGCATCATTATCTACTGAGGGATGATGTATTTTGCGTGCTGCCCACAGGTTACGGCAAGTCCCTGATATTCAGCCTTATCTTTGATTGGTCCGGATTTGAACAAAGCGCGCTTTGACTCGTTCGCGTTCATTGGCTAGATCGTTCAATGAGTCATTGAGTGCGGGCTTTAAATTTGATTGGCGGGCGGCAGAGGCAATCGAATGTGGTCAGAGGTTACTTGACACGATGGAGATAGGCTACAGTGAAAAGGTTAGTGTCAAGTTAGCTCTGAAGCTCAGGGTGGTGTGACTTGTCATTTTTAAAAAAATTAACTGACAACAATAAAATTAGAAAATCTTTTGAAATGCTTTGTTAATATCTCTTTATTGCTATTTTAAATCTAGTGGTCAGATTTTTCTGTCATATCAAGTGCAGCTTGTACATTAAACTGCAAACTGATTGAAAAACTTTTACTAAAAAATCAGATAACTGATATGATTTTCTCTAGGTATGGTAACCGTGGGCATAACCAACCTTGCACACACACCAGCAGCAAGAGGTGCTTTATCACTACTCAGAATCATGGGTTTGCTGTTGATGTTGAAACCATGCCAAAGGATTGGTCCATACTTTTCACCAATGAAAATGATAAGAGCAACGAAGGAATAGTTCACAATTCCAAACCATTCTTCAGGTGAGAAGCAGAAAGGAGATTGTTCCTTGTTTTAAAAGTATGATTTCAGCTTTTAATGTTGTAACAAATGGATAGTTGGTTTTATATATTTTATTAACAAGTAACTGGAAACAAAGATAAAACTGTATGCTTGAGGCTAAGGTTTAAAAAAAGAGGCTTGAAAGATTTCCTGACTTTTTACAAATCCGTTTTTAATACAAGAATGATATTATAATAGAAACCATTGCTTTATAACATTTATCCATGTTTAGTGTCCAGTTTCATCCAGAGCACATGGCAGGTCCCAGAGACCTAGAGCTGCTGTTTGATGTCTTCTTAGATCATGTCAGGATGCACAAGAAAGGAAGAGATGAGTAAGCTACTTTTTTTCATGAAATAGTCAGTTCTGAAATTCACGATTAAACCAATCAAGTTGTGATAGCATCATATTTGTAGAATTCATTCAACTTTTTATTGAATGAAACATGGTAAACATTTAAATCACTTTTATATTTGACATGTATTTGCATTTGACATGTATTATGTATATAAATTTGCTTTAGAATCACTTTTTTTCTCTCAGTGCATGTATTTATGAGCAATATATTTTCAGCATGTCAATCAATGACAGAATCAACCATAAGCTGGCCTACACCCCTCCTCCACATGTGCTGACCAATGTGATGTCCAAGCCAAGGAAAGTCCTCATCCTGGGGTCAGGTGGACTGTCCATTGGTCAGGCTGGAGAGTTTGACTACTCTGGATCTCAGGTAGGAATATTTGGGGATTAGTAGATTATATAGTTTGTTGACAACATAGAAGAATCTAATGGATAACACCCACATGCAAACAGATACTTTTTCTGAATGTCAATTTAACCAGTGATATGGGGATTCATTATTAGGTATAACTCATTACCTTTTTCATAATTTTGACGTTCATTATGAATTGTATTTTTAATTTGATCTCAGTATAAAATATAACAAAGGTGAGATGTTAGTGTTTAATTTGTGTAATTTAAAAGTAAGCACTGATGACAAAAAGTGCACATTTTGTTATTGCAGGCTATCAAGGCATTCAAGGAGGAACGTATCCATACTGTTTTGATAAACCCAAACATTGCTACAGTGCAAACCTCAAAGGGAATGGCAGACAAAGTGTATTTTTTGCCTCTTACAGCTGACTATGTCACAGAGGTAAAAAGCCCACATTGTTGAATTTATTCTCTTCTAAACTAACATAGTATCTGTAGTTTAAGAACGAGATATGTTTTACTGATTAATGTGAATAAAAGTATGTTGTTACAATTTGTTAATCAGTGTAGAATTAATGTATGTATTGTACACAGGTCATCAAAAGTGAAAGACCAGATGGAATTCTCCTTGCCTTTGGTGGCCAGACAGCTCTGAACTGTGGAGTGGAGCTGAAAAATAGGGGTGTGTTTGAAAAATACAATGTCCGAGTTTTAGGCACACCAGTGACATCTATTGAATGGACAGAAGATCGTAAAATTTTTGCGGAGAAGATGGAGGAGATCAATGAACACGTAGCACCCAGTGAAGCAGCTTACACAATGGAACAGGTAAAACTTTTTAAATTAGTTTTGTCTTGTTGAAATTATGCTGTAAAAGAAATGTTGTTCCATCCTAATCTCTAACAGAAGAAGACTTGTTTGGATAATTGAATTTATAATGATCAGTTTTTTTTTATTTTTCATAAAATGCATTTTAAAACATTTTGAAAAATTAAAAGTTTTTTTCTTCTTGTCATATTCCTGCTTTGTTTTGATCACAAGCACATTTACAGTGTCTACTGTGTCATTTTACAGGCTCTGGAGGCAGCAGAAAAACTGGGCTACCCTGTCATGATAAGAGCCGCCTTTGCCTTAGGTGGCCTGGGATCTGGGTTTGCCAATAACAAGGAGGAGATGGCCTATCTCACCAGTATGGCATTCAAACACACTAACCAGGTGCTGGTGGACAAGTCACTGAAAGGATGGAAAGAAGTGGAGTATGAAGTGGTCAGGGATGCCTATGACAACTGCATTACAGTAAGTCACTTTGTGGTTCAGGTGTACCCAAGCTTGCATAATCAATTTTCTTCACGAAAAAAAAAAGATTTGCATTGAAAGATGAATTGAATAAATTCCACATTTCTGCAAAAGTAAGTGATTTTTTTTTTTTTTTTTTTTTGTAAAGGTTTGTAACATGGAGAATGTTGACCCACTTGGAATCCACACTGGAGAGTCCATCGTCGTTGCTCCCAGTCAAACGCTGACCAACATTGAATACAACATGCTGCGCTCAACTGCAATCAAGGTGATCCGCCATCTTGGGATTATTGGAGAGTGCAATATTCAGTATGCATTGAACCCAGAATCTCAGCAAGTGAGTAAAAAAGTTCTTTTTTGATGTCTTTTGCAGTAATTAAGTCAGATAAGATATTTGTTAAAGCTTTATATTATCACTGTCATGACAAAAATGTGTTTAAATTGTAAGAATTCATTTGCAGCTAGTTAGATAATCTCAATTTTTTTATATCATGCTTGTTAACCTAAGAATTGATTCATGGGTTGGTGAACAGCTTATTGAGACTTCTCTTTTCCAGTCAAACTGTTTACTGTCAATAAATGACTCTGCACTTTTGATGTAACATTTTTCCTTCAGTATTTTATCATAGAAGTCAATGCCAGACTTTCCAGAAGTTCTGCCCTTGCCAGTAAAGCAACAGGGTATCCTCTAGCCTATGTAGCGGCCAAGTTGGGAATGGGCATCCCTCTGCCTGTGCTGAGAAATTCTGTGACTGGCTCCACAACTGCTTGCTTTGAACCAAGCCTAGATTACTGTGTGGTCAAAATTCCTCGCTGGGACCTAAAGAAATTTTCAAGAGTTAGCACAAAGGTAGATGATTCGCTAACTGATTATTTTTTATTTTAATACCACAAGCTCATTGTAAGGTTAATGCTCATTATCAAACAGAAGATTCAGATATGCAAGCAAACAGTGCATCTTTTTGGTAAAGCAAACCAAGCATTTAAGCTTCTATTCTTGCATATTGCTATTTGAAATTTAAAAAGAAAAATAGTCAATAACATGACACCTTTTTAATTCCCATAGATTGGCAGCTCCATGAAAAGTGTTGGAGAAGTAATGGCAGTAGGCAGAAAATTTGAGGAAGCCATTCAGAAGGCCTTGAGAATGATGGACGAGAACTGTACAGGTTTTGATCCCTACAAGAGCAAGGGGAAAGTGTCTGAGGAGGTAAGTTACCTATGGTGCATGATATTTCAAAATTTGTATAGATTTTTGTGTGATATACCTTTAGTGTGACTTATATACAAAATATGTATATGGAATGATTTGGTAATTTTTACCTGATCACTTGATATGTGCTAGAATTATAATGAATGCCCCACCTGACAGCTGTGATGTCACATTTCCTTGCATTTTACTGCATTTCTTCCAAATGATAGGATAAAGGCATGGTTTTCATTTTATTTTTAGGAACTCTACAACCCAACCTACAAGAGGATTTTTGTTTTAGCAGCAGCTATACGTAGTGGTTATGACACTGAGAAACTCTACAGCTTAACCAAGATCGACCGCTGGTTTCTTCACAAGTTTAAGAACATCATTGACTGTGTTATTCAGTTGGAGCAATTCAAGAAACAGGTTGTTATCTTTGTCTGTGTGCATTAATTATTAGTGACTAAAGATGTTTTGCATTAAGTATCAAGAAAGTTACTATAAGGTTCTGTTAAAGGCATGCATTTAAGTTTTTGAAAATGATCAGTTACTGTTAAAACTCACTGAGGATTTTCACCAATATAAAAAATACTTTATAAATATATGTGAATGAGAGAATTTTCACAAGACCTTGTCAAATGTCTGTTTTGTGTTAATCATAATGATTTTTTATGGTAGGATCTGACCCATGATGTGTTATTTGAGGCCAAGCAACTTGGATTTTGCGACAAGCAGATAGCCAAATTCACTGAAAGGTAAACCACATTAACATCAAATTTATAATCAGAAGTGGATGTAACAATCCAGGTCAAAGTTTTCTTTTCTTCTTGTCTAAAAGCAAATTTATAAATTAAGTCCCCGATATAATCTTTCAAATGATTATGGAAAATCTTGAATAAACTCAAACATGTGTGAACATTATAATAATGGTATGATGAATTAAAGGTTATTAAGCTAATCAAGAAACAAAATTTATACTTCTATCTTAAGCCATATCATGATTTTTTCATAACTTATACTATATATTAGATAAACAATTGTAAGCATGTGAACATTTTAGCACCGAGCTAGTGATCAGAAAGAAGAGAATAGATTTTGGTGTCACTCCCTTCATCAAGCAAATAGATACAGTGGCAGCTGAATGGCCTGCCTCCACCAACTACCTGTACCTCACCTACAATGCAGCAGCCCATGACTTGGACTTTCCAGGGGGCTATACCATGGTGCTGGGTTCGGGGGTGTACAGGATAGGCAGTAGTGTGGAATTTGATTGGTGTGCTGTTGGATGCATCATGGAACTCAGAAAGGTGAACCCCAAAGTTTAGTTATGCTAATACTTTGGCACTTCCATGCCCACATTTATGTCATTGCTGTTATTATTCGCCTGAAAAATGATATTTGATTAGTATCAACATTATTTAGGATCATTCACTTTATAATACAAAAATCTAAATGTTGTTCATAACAAGAATAATCAAAAAAAGTTTCAAGCTTTAATATTGTCAGATTTTAAAAATATTTAAATGATAAATTTAGCTTGGCAAGAAGACCATAATGGTGAATTACAACCCAGAGACAGTGAGCACAGACTATGACATGTGTGACAGACTTTACTTTGATGAAATCTCATTTGAGGTAAGAGGATAAAGGACATAAAAATATTTTATTCAATAATTCACACACTTATTGGTTCAAAATGCCTCAAATTTTGGACATTTATTTTGCTTAAAAATTATCTATTTTATTTTGGTCCTAGTTTGTTAAATTTTCCCCATGAAATGAACTACTAGTAGAATGGATGGAGAGAAACATGTTGATGTGATATTACTTTTTCCCCAGACTGTTATGGATATCTATAACATTGAAAACCCAGAGGGTATCATATTGTGTATGGGAGGCCAGCTGCCCAACAATATAGCTATGGATCTGCACAGGCAGCAGGTAATGAAGAAATTACAAAAGATACTTTTATATTTTGATTATAGGAAAAGTGGTTTTTAGCATCTGCTATGATAAATTTTGTTTGATCTTTTTTATATGTAACTTTGAGAAATTAGCAATGTTTATAAGCTTTTTTTTTTCTTAAAATTTGCGACACACTAGTTTTTATTTTTTGGGGGGCAAGAAGACTTGTGAATTTATTTGCACTGTTTCAGTTACTGAACCTAAATTTTCAATGCCCAAAAACTACATTTTTTTAACAAAAGGCAAGAATACTGGGTACCTCAGCAGAGATGATTGACAATGCTGAGAACAGGTTCAAGTTCTCAAGAATGTTGGACAACATAGGAATCTCACAGCCGCAGTGGAAGGAGCTGACAGACCTTGCCAGTGCCAAAGCCTTTGGAGAAAAAGTGGGCTACCCTTGTCTGGTTCGTCCATCCTATGTGTTGAGTGGAGCAGCCATGAATGTTGTCCATTATGACTACGATCTTGAGGCGTATCTCACCCAGGCAGGACGTGTGTCTAAGGAACACCCTGTTGTCATATCAAAGTTTATTCTAGAAGCAAAGGTAATATAAACTTCAGTTCAAATTGGAGGGGGGATGTTTAAAGTGAAAGAAATGACAGAATGACTTTGATGAATTTGTTTCCTAACAGAATAAGATTCATTATCTTTTGCTGCATGGAGAATAAGTGGATATTTATTAGTTGAGAATGATGATATTAAAAATCAGTTTTAAATGTTGCATAAAAATGGATTCTGACAATTTTTTACATGATTGTGCTTCTATACCCATTCTTGATTAGCCACTTGGGTAGTGCAGAAGTTAAAAGTTCAATAATTTGATGTGATTTGAAACCCAATTATGGAATGGGAAATTAGAAGTGCTTTGAACAAAGTCAGTCAAGATGTGGATGTTCAGGATAGCTAGTAATACTGTTTGTTGTTTTCATAGCTATTGTAAACTTTCACTTTCAGGAAATAGATGTAGATGTGGTAGCATCAGATGGTGAGGTGATATGCATGGCAGTGTCCGAACATGTTGAGAATGCAGGTGTGCACTCGGGTGATGCCACCCTTGTCACCCCTCCACAAGACTTGAATGAAGAAACTCTACAGAAGATCAAACTGATTAGCTGTGCTATAGCCAGAGAGCTAGAAGTATCTGGTCCATTCAATTTGCAGCTAATTGCAAAGGTATATTTAAGAGGTCTTGTGCTTCTCATTGTCAAAAGAAAAAAATCTACTCAAGGCTGCAGCAAATGATTAAGTGCATGCTTAATTTGTAAGTCCTTCAAGTCTAAAACAAGCATATCCAAATGTAATAGAATATTTATTCATTAATTTCTAGATTTTTGATTCTCTTTATTAGCTGTATGTCATGCCAGGGTTAAAGTGTAAAGGTAATTAAATTCGTATTTTTTTTTTCTTTCAGGACAACCAACTGAAAGTCATTGAGTGTAATGTCCGTGTGTCCAGATCATTCCCCTTTGTCTCGAAGACACTGGGTCACAATTTCATTGCCTTGGCAACACAGGTCCTTGCTGGCCAGAAACCAGAGGCTATCAATGTTCTTAATGGAGTTGGAAAAGTTGGTGTGAAGGTAGGTGATTGTGTTAAGTGAAAGTGAATTATCATATAAAAATCATCCAGATTTAATTTGTGATATAAAATGTTACAGTTTTTTCTTGTTACTTGTCTGAAGAGAATGAATAATGGTTCAGATGATTTGTTTTCATTTTTATTGTGTATGTGTATTTTTTGAAAACTTTATATTTTGTATTTCTCCTCCAGGTGCCTGTGTTTTCTTATGCACGCCTGGCTGGAGCTGATGCCCTGAAAGGAGTAGAGATGGCAAGCACAGGGGAAGTGGCATGCTTTGGAGAGGACAGATATGAAGCATATCTTAAAGCTCAACTCAGCACAGGATTCACCATTCCAAAGAAGAACATTCTTTTGTCAATTGGAAGTTACAAGGTGAAGATTTTTTTTTTACCTTAGTTTTGAATTTCATGAATTTCAAAGCACTTGTATTTAAAGAAAAATGCTTATAGAATTGAAATGAAAACTCACCTTTACCTTTTTATATCAATTATAGTGTTTTATTTGATTAAGCAGAGATATTCTTTTGCAGAATCGTTTTCCAATCTTTCAAGTTTAAAAGCAAAAACTATCTCTCATTTGCACATAGCAGTTAGGTTATTGCATGAGTTGAAAAAGCTACTGAGGTGCATGAGGACAAGGAGCCTGGAGAACAAAGTCAAAGCACATTATAATGTTTTCTTTTCACCATTCAGAGTAAAAGTGAGCTGCTGGGCAGCGTCCGCACCCTGGAGAACATGGGTTATCAGCTGTATGCTAGTCTGGGCACTGCAGACTTCTACTCGGAACATGGAATAAAGGTAAGCGAGACCATATTATGCTTTCAATTTGTAGATGCATTTTGAAATGTTAAAGAGATGAATTCCTTGTTTAGACTTATTTATTCAAAGACTTGGAGATGTATGTAAGTATCGTCAACTATTTTGTAAAAAGGCAATAATTTTCAGTGTTGGCAATGTTTCATTGAAAGATTAATTTTCAGAGGTATCATTGTATATAGTTTCACGTGTATGAATCCTTAACAGTGACATGGCTGTTATTTCCAGATCAAGGCGGTAGAGTGGCCATATGAAGACAATGGTGCTGCTTCAGCACCAAGAAATGGTAGTGGCGATGATGACCGTCGCCGTGATGACCAGAGAAGCATAGCAGACTATCTGGCTGACAACCACTTCCATCTGGTGATTAATCTTCCAATGAGAAATAGTGGAGCTAAGAGGGCTTCCACATTCGTCACCCAGGGATATCGCACTAGACGCATGGCTGTGGATTACTCTGTGCCATTGATCACAGATATCAAGATTGCCAAGCTCTTCATTGAGGTTAGTGGAGAGTCAGCTCAGGATGAGGAATTCATTATAAAGTTTGTTCAAATAAAATATACCAAAACATGATATGCAATTTGTATGATGGGTTAAATGAGAAAAAGAAACTCTATCTATTGAAAAAAAAATACTCAAAAGAACATGTATGAGAAAAACTTATGATGTGTGATGGATATATCAAGTTTTTCTTTGAATTTTTTAGTCCCTGAGAAGAATTAAGGGTCCTCCTCAGTTGAAAACACATGTTGACTGTATGTCTTCTAGAAAAGTTTTACGCATTCCAGGTAAGAGCTTCTGAAAAAATTTGGTTTCAGAAGTGAAGTTGGAGGGTTTGTTATATCGTAGCAAGTATAGAATTAAAATTATGCACTGGGCAATTGATGCAGTTACTTATTTGTGTGGTCAAAAGAAATTATCAAAGCAAAATTATACGTCCACAATGATTAATTGTAAATGTGGGATACCCAGTTACAAAACCCATTTGATAAGGGGAAATTTTGTACAGTTGCAATTTCCATAGGAAAAGTGAGTAAGAACAAATTGATCATTAACAATTAAATCTAATGTTCCTAGGACTGATTGATGTCCATGTTCATCTGCGTGAGCCTGGTGCCACTCACAAGGAAGACTATGCCTCTGGCACTGCAGCTGCTCTTGCTGGAGGTGTGACCATAGTTCTGGCCATGCCTAACACACAGCCAGCAATTGTGGACCAGGCTTCACTGGTCCTTGCTCAGAAGGTAAAATTATATTTCTTTCATTTTAACTTTGGAAATCATCTTGGATTGCCTAAAATGAGTGTGTGACATCATGGGAGAATCTTTTAGGAATAACAGTGAGACTCTAATGTGGCAAGCTGTCATCTTAGAAAGCAATACAAGAGTTACATGCAAAACGTGGTGAAGACTCTAGTTCTTCAGAACTAAATAGCTAAATAGAAACGGTTTTTTCAAGACTGAATAGCGCTATCCTATGGATAACAATATCCAGTGGGTAAAATTGTTATCCTCATTACAGATATCTAGAGGATAGCACACTTTTAATCAGTGGACAGCAATATAAGAGACCAAAATAAGTACCCAGCATTTGTGAAACATCATTTCAGGATAATATGTATTATATAAATATTATGTTGTAAATTGTTTTGAGGTGTTATGTGTGTTCAAAGAGATGAATTCAGTAGAAGGATGAACATTTTAAATTCCCTAAAACTATCCTTCTAACTGACTTGATATGAAAATATGGTTTGAAATCTTTAATAATCAGTCAAGCAGTTTTCCCTTGATTAAAGTTGAAACAAAAATGTGCAAATGTAAAGCTTGCAAAATGCCCCCATTTTTCTTTCAGCTTGCCAGACAAGGTGCCCGTTGTGACTATGGCATTTACCTGGGAGCCAGTGCAGAGAATGCTACAGAATTACCAGCTCTGGCTTCAGAGTCCATTGGACTGAAGATGTACCTGAACGAGACTTACACCACACTCAGACTGGATGATGTCACTGTGTGGATGAAGGTAAATATGTGAGTTCGAATGCATGCCTGTGTGTACGCAAGCAGGCACACATGCACAAGGGAATGTTGGTACAGTAGTGCTCTCTTATAAAGATAAAGCTTTCAAGAATAATGCTATTGATGTTGGCAGTTTGCCTTATAACTGAATTTATTTATTTATTTATATATTTATTTATTTGAATGAGATTTCTTGGGTTTTTCAAAGGCTGTGGTTGGGTAAACACTTACAGGATTCAATGCCACATATGACCATTGTATGTTGTGTCTGTAAATTGTCTATTCCAGCATTTTGAGAATTGGCCCAAAGACATGCCAATTGTGTGTCATGCTGAACTGAGGACTGTTGCGGCAGTCCTGCTCTTGGTGGACCTTTATCAAAGACCTGTGCACATTGCACACGTGGCCAGGAAGGAGGAGGTGAGAATTTAATACAAAATGTATGAACCCTTTAGAATTCTTTTTTCTTTTCATCAGTGCATGTCTGCTGTCAAAATAGATTCCTTTTCAATCAGTTTTTTCCATCATTATGTAATCTGGGCATGCAAGTAAGATGTCAGTGGAAGGGCAGATATGACAGTATTCACTTAATAATATAACTTGCATCATGCAGAAATTTTTTTTTTTGTTCCATTTGTCAGTCTGTGTAAGTAAGCAGCATTATACAAAATGTTGTGGATGGATTTTGATGACATTTCAGATATTATCGTGAGGGGACCAAGTAAAAAACGATTAGATTTTGGTTGTGATGTACTTATTTATTAATTAGTTAATAAGTAAAGACTGTATCTCTATTAGCAATATTATGCAAAAAATTATGAAGGGAGTTTGATGACATTTTCAGGATTAGAAATGGGCTTTTTTTTTTTTGTGATTACTTAATTTTCAGAATTGAGCTATCTTGGTGGAGGTCTGTGCTCTCTCAGTTTTTTCTAGTTTGTTCACACACCACAAGAAATAAGAAATTCACAATTTGAGTGAAATCATTTTGAAGGTGTGATTTTTTATTTTTGTTAGATTCTCATCATCAGAGCAGCTAAGGAAAGGGGACTCCCTGTGACATGTGAGGTGGCCCCACATCACCTGTTTTTGACGGCGTCAGACATTAACCGAATTGGAGAAACAAGGGCCCATGTTCGGCCAATGATTGCCAATGTGGAGGATCAAAAGGCATTGTGGGATAATATAGACATTATTGATTGTTTTGCAACAGATCATGGTGAGTATTCAACACAACATTTGCCACTTAATGTTATTATGGAAAATGTATGGTAGCTATTATTGACTTAATTATTGAATAAGACTTTTGGAATAAGACATTATTACCTAGGCCATGGAGGTTATGTTTTTGTTCTATTCATCTGTCTGTCCATCTCTCTTTCTGTGTCTGTAACCAATATTATGCAACAAGTTACAGATGAATTGCAATGAAAATTTCAGAAACTGTTGGGTGTGAACCAGGTAACATAAAAATTAGATTTTGGTTTTAATCCATTAATTTATTGATTTATAATAATTAATTACTTAATTATTTGTCTGTCTGTCTGTCTTTAAGCATCATTATGCATAAAAATTACGCAGATTGATTTGAAATTTTCAAGAAACTGTTTGGAGTGAACCAAATAACAAACAAGTATATTCTCATTATTATCCATTAATTAATGATTAACTTGTCTGTCTGTCAATAATCAACATTATGCAAAATGTTTTGGGTAGATTAAGAGGAGATATTCACAAACTGTTGGGGATGGCTAAGTTACATAAAAGATTAGATTTTAGTTGAAATCCATTACAAATTGATTGGTAATTAGTTAATTGTTTGTTTGTCTGTCTTTAGCAACATTATGCTTGAAAATAACACAGATTGAGATGAAAATTTTGAGAAACAGTCAGGAGTGAACCAATTTACAAATTATTAAATTTTGGTAATGGTCCATTAATTAATGATTAAGAAACTATTAGGAGTGGACTTACACTAGTAACAAACAAGTACATTTTCATTATTATCCATTAATTAATAATTAACTTGTCTGCCTGTCAATAATCAGCATTATGCAAAATGTTTTCAATGGATTGAGAGGAAATATCCAGAAACTGTTATGGACTTAGTACCATAAAAAATTAGATTTTGGTGGAAATCCATTATATGTTGATTGATAATTAGTTAATTGTTTGTTTATCTGTCTGTTAGCAACATTATGCTTGAAGATAAAACAGATCGAGATGTAATTTTAAGAAACAGTCATGAGTGAACCAAGTAACAAATGATTAGATTTTGGTGATGGTCCATTTATTAATTATTAATTAGTATATTTATTTTTCTGTATGTCTGTCTGTTGAAAAATTATGCAAAATGTTATAGATGGATTGAGAGTAAATTTTCTGAAACTCTCCGGTGTCTTTGTTAGTGATCCATTGAGTAATTGATTAGTAAATAAATTATAATAATAATAATTGAGCTGCCTTGACACAGGTCTGTACTCTGAGTGCTTCTCTAGTCGAAGAATGAATACTTTTTTGTATGAATATTGTTCAAAACAATATGGCAATACTGTAAATCTACAAAGCATACTCTGTAGTCACAAGAACACATATAGTTGAATACATATTTTATTTATCAGCCCCACATACAGTTGATGAGAAGAACAACCCCAAGCCTTGTTTTGGTTACCCTGGCCTGGAGACCATGCTGCCTCTATTACTTACTGCTGTCAATGATGGACGACTTACAATGGAGGTGAGCACAAAGATTTATGATATATTTTTCTGACAAACAAATAAATCTACTTTCTTTCTATAGACAAGTGCTAATATAATAACCAAAGTTCACCTACTGAAGTAATATTAATAAGTTGATTTGAAACATAGCAACCAGAAGGTTCAACTTCAAGGTTGAAGATAAATGAGTTTGAATAAAAATTTTTAATAAAATATTTACATAAAATAAAGGATTTGTATTAAGATCATTATGAGTTTGAAATAAAACACATACCTCTAAAAGTTAGATAAAGAAAAAGGAATAAAGGTGTTTTGGAAATGTTCAGTCTTGAATTTTGGTACATAAAAGTTGGATTGGTTATATGTCTTGGCTTTCTGTATGTTCTGGAAGTTTTAACTATTAAAATAGGTAATTTAGCCTATACTTGTGATTCTGTATTTCCTTGAGGAAAAATTGGCATAGTTCTTTGAGCCACTTTTCTAAAATGACAAGGTTAGTCTATACCAAGGTATCAACATAAGATTAATCAGGATATATAATTTTTAGTACCCTAGAATTATTTCAGTCACTGTTATGTAATTGCACTGCTCACTGTTAAACCTGTGGTGCCCTGCAAGGCAAGAATATTTAACAACAGAGCATTTAAACTCTGATACACATGTGCAAGATCATCAAATTAGGGCAGTTTGGCACATTCAAATGTGCATACTGTTAAAACATATTATAAATATATTTTATTCCACATATTCAGACCATTTAAGGTTGTAAGTGATGAAAACATCCAAAAGAAATGAGACACTTCTATAACTTAAAGCACTCTCCTGTCAAAAGACAGTAGGTCGCGCCGTGCTTTATTTCGTGTAAAGTCACGTCATCCACTAATGCGTTCCACGCACCAATGCACAGGGTTAATTACTCGTGCTTTAAGCCAGATAAAGCACTCGGCGCTGAGCTTTATCTATACCATATCTTCCCTTGGAAAATCATCTGCGTGCATGTTTTAACAATTCATGTTTTTGTTTTCCAGGATATTGTCACTCGTCTGTACACAAATCCCAAGAAAATATTCAATATACCAGACCAACCAAATACATATGTTGAAGTTGACATGGAGACTGAGTGGACCATCCCCAATGCTATGAAGTTCACAAAATCAAAATGGACGCCATTTGCTGGCATGAAAGTGAAGGGCACAGTAAGGAGGGTGGTTTTGAGAGGGGAAGTTGTGTTCATTGATGGTGAGGTGAGAAAGATTGAAGAAGCTTTTCACATGGTTGCTGTAGTGTACTGTGCTCATTTTTAGTTGTTATTTTGTTATAAATTATTTTAACTATTTCGGAACTTAAAACTTGATGTGGCTAATTGTGTTTTGTTGAGAAGGCTTCTATTTTTGTAACATTGAATTTTGGAATAAATGATAACAAAATTCCACGTCTCTTTTAAATCATTATCTTCTGCTACATGTTTCTTAGTACTTGCATGACCCTATTTCATTTTAGAATCAGGTAAAAACAAGATTTATTAATTTACTTTTCTAACCATTTTAGTTAATAACATTTCCTTCACATCTACTAGGTGTTAGCCAAGCCAGGGTATGGTATGGATATTAATCTCCTGCCAAAAGCACCCCACCAGGGTCCTAGACAGCTACTGGGTCTAGCTGGCAAGCAACATGGTCCTCTAATGCCTGCGCCGCTTACAACAAGCATTCCATCAGTGCCTGGGGTACTCCCTGGACCATTATCTGAACCAGCAAGTCCCATCAGAAAGCATGTTGACATTCCTAAGTTTCATCTCCCACCAAAGATGTCACGTGCTCTTAATGTAGATGTGATGTATGGAAATACCACTCTGCATGGAAGTTTGTTGGGTATGCTCTACTACTGTTATTGTTCTTCTGACATTTAATGATTTTTATTGTTTGCGTTAGTATGGATCTATTCATCAAGTCAAGAACCGTGTAATGTGAGTGTTTTTTTTTTCTTGTATCAGTGTTTTTTGGATTTTCTTAACATAGTTGTTTGGTTTGTTTTGCTTGATTTGACTGAATTAACTCATGACTGTGAAATGTTGGATTATTATAAGAACTGTTTTAAAGGGTTTGTGTGTGCATATTTATTTCCCTCATGCAGACAAACCTGTAGAAGGACATCTGCCAGAATTCAGAGCAGGTACCAGTGCATGATTTCTACCCTTTTCTTTTTAACATTCCATAATATTTCTTCTTCTTATTTGGTCCTTGTAGCAGTCTCATCATATACCTTTGGAAAAAATGTCATGCATTTGTCTCTCTGAAATGCATTGCCTGATACTTTCTATCTATCTGTTTTATTAATATCCATTGTATATTGCTTTTTTAGGTTGCATTCTTCAATCTGTTTCCAATTGTTTTTTTTTAAAAATCTATTTATTATGCTTGGTCCTCTGCTTTATTTCTTATTTATGCACAGATCCTTGTAGCGTTACTTACAATACTACAAACCATGACTTGATTGAACCTCCACCTACGGGTGGTAAGTGAAAACTGCATGCTGCATTTTGGAAAGTGAGAGTCATTGTGATCATGCTGTGTACAAATGCATGTTCTGCATGAAACAATACAGTCAATTCAGTATTGTGGGTACAGACTTCTGTAAATGCAGCATAATCCTGATTTCAACTTGAAGGAAAGAAAATATAATATTTGGGTAGTCCATTAGGGCAGAAAATGAGGAGTAAGCATTCTATTTCTTATTTTCTGTTTTTTCTCTAAGTGCTTGATTTTTGTTAAATATACTTCTGCTATTCTTTTAACCATATCTTCTTTATTGACTAATCAGTAGTACGAGATCCTTGTAGTTTACTACCTGGGCAGATTACGGCAGGTGCTGAGGGTATTATTAATAGGACAGGTAATTCCACTGTAAACACATTTATGTGTGGACTTGAGTATTTATTTTCTAGTAACTTCATTACAAAAATCACTTTGAATATTTTTCATCTATCTTCAGTTTATTATTCTTATTTTTTTTATTATTTCAGTTTTTTATTCAAAATAATGTATAATATATTTTAGTTGACTGTCTTAAATGTATTGTACTGTACTGTGAAATTAGATTTTTAAAAGATTTTGACAGCATGCCTTTTATGCAAAAGTATAATAAAGTAATTTAGAATTGCACAACTTAAAACTGTAAATATTCCTATAACTCAAGACTCACAAGAACCAGTTTCATAATTATTTATCTACACTATTTTCTAAATATGTCTTCTCACACAACCCTTATTATTTGAATGCTTTTTCCCAAATTTGCCTCAATATTATTTGAGTAGTTTGACTCTCATATCATGCAAACCCAAAGGTAGTCTTAATATAGGGTTAAAAACTGAATTATGTAATATGGGTCCCTATGTGGTCTGGTGACCGCAACTTGCAAGTCAATTGACTATGTCTGATCAACTCGCTCTCTCTGCTTATTCAAGGAATGTGACCGATTAATTTCTTCATTGTGTTATATTTATCATATATATATATATGTATATTTATAGATCTGCACACACCAGGAAGTAGAGAGACAAAAGAGACCAGTTCAGGTGGAGGTGGTGGTGATGTAGTTTTGACCAGGAGTGGAGTGACCCCTCCACACCCCTACTATGCCACGCCCACCTCCACTGCCCAATACATTTCTGGCATCACAGGACAGCATACGCTGTCTGTGCATTCCTTTAACAAGGAACATGTGAGTAGAAGCAAAGGAATGATAATAATAATAATAATTATGCACTTCTTTGACTTGTAAAAATTATAAGATTTTCAATGAGTAAACATTTTTACACAAAGAAAATTATCGAAATGATCTTTTGCTGGCATCAAAGGCCCTTAGGTTTTCCAAAGGTTCCTATCCATTACATTTATACATTTATATATTTTTTCATCAATAGTCTCTCCTCATCTGCTAGGATATTAAATCCCCCATTTTTTGTTATTATTTTTTGATTTGTCAGCAGCATTGTCTCATTGCTGCTTGTGATCTTATTACAGCTCCACCAGCTATTTAACTTGGCCCACAGCATGAGAATTGCAATTCAGAAGGAAAGGACACTAGACTACATACTGAAGGTATTTTAATATCAAACGGCTTTGAAAAATAGGGATGATAGAAATTAAATTTATCTTTCATTAGAAATAGTTCAGAGATGATATTTTTGTCCCTATTGAAATTTGATCACAACACGCATATGCATGCATCCTCCAAAGAAAGATTTTTCCTTCAGTTACATAAGAAAATAAAGAATCCACATTTGTTTGTAAAAAATGGAATCCCATTTAATTTTTTGTTTAAATAAATCTGCTATATTTTGTAAATTAATGCAAATGTCTTTTCTGTATCATGTTACCTATCTTTGTAAAATAGGGCAAAGTCATGGCATCCATATTTTATGAGGCCAGCACTCGTACAAGCTGCTCCTTTGCAGCAGCGATGCAGAGACTTGGTGGGAGCATCATTGGAATGGATTCCAGCACATCTTCTGTGACGAAGGGAGAAACCTTGGAAGGTATTTTACCCTTCTAGCGATTCTCCATGTGTTTAAAATGATTAAACTTTATGGTTCTTTGTTGCTCCATTATGAGTATGTTAATTTCAGAATGCTTTCCCTGTACTGGTAATTATTTTCTCAGTGATTTTAACGTAAGTATTTAAGTTTTTCTCACAGCACTTTGGATATTTCAGACACTCTTCGGGTTCTGGCTGGCTACAGTGATGTCATTGTACTTCGCCATCCAGAGGTTGGAGCTGTCACTGTAAGTTGGAACTTCATTTAATATGCCAAACTGCTGCATAGCTTTCATTATTTTGCAGGATTTTTAAAGAGGTAAATAAGATAAAATACTGAATTCCCTTACAGCATGAATATGGCATCCATTGCTGTCACCATGCAGTCACTTTATTCCAATACAAATGCATCGTGTATTTCTGTTCACAGAGAGCAGCCAAGTTTAGTCGCAGGCCTATCATCAATGCTGGAGATGGATCAGGAGAACACCCTACCCAGGCTTTACTGGATGTGTTCACCATCAGAGAGGAGATTGGTACTGTCAATGGCCNATTATATTCCACATGTTCAGACCATTTAAGGTTGTAAGTGATGAAAACATCCAAAAGTTTGAAATGAGACACTTCTATAACTTAAAGCACTCTCCTGTCAAAAGACAGTAGGTCGCGCCGTGCTTTATTTCGTGTAAAGTCACGTCATCCACTAATGCGTTCCACGCACCAATGCACAGGGTTAATTACTCGTGCTTTAAGCCAGATAAGATGAGCTTTATCTATACCATATCTTCCCTTGGAAAATCATCTGCGTGCATGTTTTAACAATTCATGTTTTTGTTTTCCAGGATATTGTCACTCGTCTGTACACAAATCCCAAGAAAATATTCAATATACCAGACCAACCAAATACATATGTTGAAGTTGACATGGAGACTGAGTGGACCATCCCCAATGCTATGAAGTTCACAAAATCAAAATGGACGCCATTTGCTGGCATGAAAGTGAAGGGCGCAGTAAGGAGGGTGGTTTTGAGAGGGGAAGTTGTGTTCATTGATGGTGAGGTGAGAAAGATTGAAGAAGCTTTTCACATGGTTGCTGTAGTGTACTGTGCTCATTTTTAGTTTTTATTTTGTTATAAATTATTTTAACTATTTCGGAACTTAAAACTTGATGTGGCTAATTGTGTTTTGTTGAGAAGGCTTCTATTTTTGTAACATTGAATTTTGGAATAAATGATAACAAAATTCCATGTCTCTTTTAAATCATTATCTTCTGCTACATGTTTCTTAGTACTTGCATGACCCTATTTCATTTTAGAATCAGGTAAAAACAAGATTTATTAATTTACTTTTCTAACCATTTTAGTTAATAACATTTCCTTCACATCTGCTAGGTGTTAGCCAAGCCAGGGTATGGTATGGATATTAATCTCCTGCCAAAAGCACCCCACCAGGGTCCTAGACAGCTACTGGGTCTAGCTGGCAAGCAACATGGTCCTCTAATGCCTGCGCCGCTTACAACAAGCATTCCATCAGTGCCTGGGGTACTCCCTGGACCATTATCTGAACCAGCAAGTCCCATCAGAAAGCATGTTGACATTCCTAAGTTTCATCTCCCACCAAAGATGTCACGTGCTCTTAATGTAGATGTGATGTATGGAAATACCACTCTGCATGGAAGTTTGTTGGGTATGCTCTACTACTGTTAATGTTCTTCTGACATTTAATGATTTTTATTGTTTGCGTTAGTATGGATCTATTCATCAAGTCAAGAACCGTGTAATGTGAGTGTTTTTTTTTTCTTGTATCAGTGTTTTTTGGATTTTCTTAACATAGTTGTTTGGTTTGTTTTGCTTGATTTGACTGAATTAACTCATGACTGTGAAATGTTGGATTATTATAAGAACTGTTTTAAAGGGTTTGTGTGTGCATATTTATTTCCCTCATGCAGACAAACCTGTAGAAGGACATCTGCCAGAATTCAGAGCAGGTACCAGTGCATGATTTCTACCCATTTCTTTTTAACATTCCATAATATTTCTTCTTCTTATTTGGTCCTTGTAGCAGTCTCATCATATACCTTTGGAAAAAATGTCATGCATTTGTCTCTCTGAAATGCATTGCCTGATACTTTCTATCTATCTGTTTTATTAATATCCATTGTATATTGCTTTTTTAGGTTGCATTCTTCAATCTGTTTCCAATTGTTTTTTAAAAAAATTCTATTTATTATGCTTGGTCCTCTGCTTTATTTCTTATTTATGCACAGATCCTTGTAGCGTTACTTACAATACTACAAACCATGACTTGATGGAACCTCCACCTACGGGTGGTAAGTGAAAACTGCATGCTGCATTTTGGAAAGTGAGAGTCATTGTGATCATGCTGTGTACAAATGCATGTTCTGCATGAAACAATGCATTCAATTCAGTATTGTGGGTACAGACTTCTGTAAATGCAGCATAATTCTGATTTCAACTAGAAGGAAAGAAAATATAATATTTGGGTAGTCCAATAGGGCAGAAAATGAGGAGTAAGCATTCTATTTCTTATTTTCTGTTTTTTCTCTAAGTGCTTGATTTTTGTTAAATATATTTCTGCTATTCTTTTAACCATATCTTCTTTATTGACTAATCAGTAGTACGAGATCCTTGTAGTTTACTACCTGGGCAGATTATGGCAGGTGCTGAGGGTATTATTAATAGGACAGGTAATTCCACTGTAAACACATTTATGTGTGGACTTGAGTATTTATTTTCTAGTAACTTCATTACAAAAATCACTTTGAATATTTTTCATCTATCTTCAGTTTATAATTCTTATTTTTTTTATTATTTCAGTTTTTTATTCAAAATAATGTATAACATATTTTAGTTGACTGTCTTAAGTGTATTGTACTGTACTGTGAAATTAGATTTTTAAAGGATTTTGACAGCATGCCTTTTATGCAAAAATATAATAAAGTAATTTAAAATTGCACAACTTTAAACCGTAAATATTCCTATAACTCAAGACTCACAGGAGCCAGTTTCATAATTATTTATCTACACTACTTACTAAATATGTCTTCTCACACAACCCTTATTATTTGAATGCTTTTTCCCAAATTTGCCTCAATATTATTTGAGTAGTTTGACTCTCATATTATGCAAACCCAAAGGTAGTCTTTTAATATAGGGTTAAAAACTGAAGTATGTAACATGTGTCCCTCTGTGGTCTGGTGACTGCAACTTGACTATATCTGATCAACTCTCTGCTTATCCAAGGACTGTGACCAATCAATTTCTTCATTGTGATATATTTATTATATACATATATTTATAGATCTGCACACACCAGGAAGTAGAGAGACAAAAGAGACCAGTTCAGGTGGAGGTGGTGGTGATGTAGTTTTGACCAGGAGTGGAGTGACCCCTCCACACCCCTACTATGCCACGCCCACCTCCACTGCCCAATACATTTCTGGCATCACAGGACAGCATACGCTGTCTGTGCATTCCTTTAACAAGGAACATGTGAGTAGAAGCAAAGGAATGATAATAATAATAATAATTATGCACTTCTTTGACTTGTAAAAATTATAAGATTTTCAATGAGTAAACATTTTTACACAAAGAAAATTATCGAAATGATCTTTTGCTGGCATCAAAGGCCCTTAGGTTTTCCAAAGGTTCCTATCCATTACATTTATACATTTATATATTTTTTCATCAATAGTCTCTCCTCATCTGCTAGGATATTAAATCCCCCATTTTTTGTTATTATTTTTTGATTTGTCAGCAGCATTGTCTCATTGCTGCTTGTGATCTTATTACAGCTCCACCAGCTATTTAACTTGGCCCACAGCATGAGAATTGCAATTCAGAAGGAAAGGACACTAGACTACATACTGAAGGTATTTTAATATCAAACAGCTTTGAAAAATAGGGATGATAGAAATTAAATTTATCTTTAATTAGAAATAGTTCAGAGATGATATTTCTGTTTTTTTCCCTATTGAAATTTGATCACAACACATATGCATGCATCCTCCAAAGAAAGATTTTTCCTTCAGTTACATAAGAAAATAAAGAATCCACATTTGTTTGTAAAAAATGGAATCCCATTTAATTTTTTGTTTAAATAAATCTGCTATATTTTGTAAATTAATGCAAATGTCTTTTCTGTATCATGTTACCTATCTTTGTAAAATAGGGCAAAGTCATGGCATCCATATTTTATGAGGCCAGCACTCGTACAAGCTGCTCCTTTGCAGCAGCAATGCAGAGACTTGGTGGGAGTATCATTGGAATGGATTCCAGCACATCTTCTGTGACGAAGGGAGAAACCTTGGAAGGTATTTTATCCTTCTAGTGATTCTCCATGTGTTAAAAATGATTAAACTTTGTTTCTTTGTTGCTCCATTATGAGTATGTTAATTTCAGAATGCTTTCCTTGTACTGGTGATTATTTTCTCAGCGATTTTAACTGAAGTATTTTAGTATTTCTCACATCACTTTGGGTATTTCAGACACTCTTCGGGTTCTGGCTGGCTACAGTGATGTCATTGTACTTCGCCATCCAGAGGTTGGAGCTGTCACTGTAAGTTGGAACTTCATTTAATATGCCAAACTGCTGCATAGCTTTCATTAACTTGTAGGATTTTAAAGAGGTAAATAAGATAAAATACTGAATTCCCTTACATTATGAATATGGCATCCACTGCTGTCACCATGCAGCCACTTTATTCCAATACAAATACATCATGTATTTCTGTTCACAGAGAGCAGCCAAGTTTAGTCGCAGGCCTATCATCAATGCTGGAGATGGATCAGGAGAACACCCTACCCAGGCTTTACTGGATGTGTTCACCATCAGAGAGGAGATTGGTACCGTCAATGGTCTGACAGTAAGTAGAATGAAGAAAAACCATTGTGACAAGTTGCATGCATTATTTTTTACCTGAATTTTCAAGATTGCTGCAGTAATATACTTACTGCAGATAGTTAAGTTGAAATTAGAATCTATAGTAAGTAAAATGTTTATAAAGGTTAACACCATAATATATCTTGTCAGTCTGGATCATATGACACATCACTAATAATTCATTTATTAGTGATGTGTCATTTCACTAATAAATGAATTATTAGTGATGTGTCATATGATCCAGACTAATAATTCATTTATTAGTCTGGATCATATGACACATCACTAATAATTCATTTCTTAGTGATATGATTCATTTAATAATATACTTATTTAAGGTGACAATGGTTGGGGATTTGAAGCATGGGCGTACTGTACATTCTTTGGCACGCATACTTACCCTGTATAGAGTGAAACTGGTGTATGTTTCCCCACCAAACTTGAAAATGCCTCAAGAAGTTGTAGAGTATGTTAAGTCCAGGGGCATAAGGCAGGTAAGACAGTATTATCACCATGGCACATACTATCACAGAAGTTGATTTGAAATATGACCCTTATAGAATTTGTGCAATATTTGTATCTTTAAATATCCTCCATCACTAGCAAATCAAAATTACCACATTAAAGGTAAATACTTCATATGTTATGTATTTTATACCTGGCCGATTATGTGTGCTATGACAAGTTCATAAAGATAGTGTATTTAAAATATCATGGAATATTTAATTTAGGAAGAGGCTAATGCCCTGGAGCAGGCACTGCCAGAGACTGATGTCCTCTATATGACCAGGATCCAGAAGGAAAGGTTCCCATCAGAGGAGGAGTATAACAAGGTGAGCAATCCATTTCATTTAGTTGGACTAAAAAGGCAGGCTACATGTATTTTCATTGTGTAAAATCCATTATATTAGGTTTGATGGTATTTTTTTTCTTAATTTTTTTCAAGAAAAAACATTCTGTGGCAATAATGCTTACCTGAATCATTCTCGTTTAGAGTTTTTTATTTTTTTTCTATCTAAAAGCAAGGAAAAAGCTTATCTAAGTTAATATTGTTATAACTTTCAGTCCTGCGGTCAGTTTGTGGTGACCCCACAGTTGATGACCAAGGCCAAAAAGAAGATGGTGGTCATGCATCCTCTTCCTCGGGTATATGAGATTGAGTAAGTTGGGACTTCATACTACCACAATTTCGGTCTTGAAGACCTTTAATGATTATGAACTGTGATATTTACTTATATAGTTTGTTTTTTTTTAATTTCAATCAAAACCTAAGAATTGAGGTATTGTACTCCAATATTACAATTTTCTGGGTTCTGCATTTCAATGTTCAAAAGTTTAATTTTACGAAGTCAGAAAACAAACTGCCATTTCTTTTCCTGCAAATTAAAAAAGTTAAATTTAAGGCATGTTATTAAGCACTATAAGCAGATGAAAAAGATATGTAATTACTTACATGTAAAGGTCTCCTTCAGTAAGATATATACTGCAGCCCCCTCTTGGTAATATTCTTATGAAATCTATAGCTATTAGCCATACTGCATATGCACTTAAATTAAGCAATCTGTGACAAATATTTGAGAACACTGTGTTACCATTAAGAACTAAATTAACTGTTACCTCTTTTTCTCCCTCTCCTTTGTAGCCCAGCATTTGATACAGATCCAAGAGCTGCATACTTCAGACAGGCAGAATATGGCATGTTTGTAAGAATGGCTCTGCTGGCTGCAGTCATGGGACGGTTCTGAAGATACTGCTATAGCAAACTTCTATGGAAACGGGAGTCTGAATGAATATAGTTCTATTGACATGTTGTTTTTTTTTTCATTTAATTGTCTCACAAAAAATTTGCCAATGTTAAGATTTGTTGATTATGAGCTTTTGCTGCTTCATTAGATGTTTATCCATGAGGAAATTGCGTCTCTTGCGACACAGTTTATGTGTAGTACAATCAGTATTTGCTGCTCTCTCAAAGATTTCTGATAGGCACCACTTTAATTGTAGTGAGTGAAGTATATTTAAAAGTCACACAGAACAGTATTTGCAATGATAGAAATATATATTTGTCAGAAGCTGAAATTTGATTGATTATATTTAAAAGCAAGATGATTAAAATTTTCAAAGCCTAACTTCATGCTATGCCAGACAGGCTTAAAAATAACAGGGATATTGGAAACAGCTACCCCAAGGTGAAATGAATGTTTGAAAGACTGATGTTGCAAAGTACCTCTCAATTCACAGTAATATTAAGTATTAATTACATATTTGTTTATTTTTGAAGTAGAGTGTGGACAATAGGTCTTTGATTTAGTATTGTGGAGTTTGTATTTCCGTAATGAAAAAAAAAGTTAAAAGAGATTCAGATAAAGAAAGATTTCTTTGATTTTATTTCTCACACTCATGTTGTTGCAAATGTTTATTACTGTGTAATGGTGGGTATTTGAAGATTTCAAGAGGTAAGTCTGAAATTGTAACCAATATTAAAATGAAACTTACTAAAAGTTTTAATGACTAATAAGCAAAAATTTAAGACCAGTGCATAATAAAAGAAGAAAACAATAACGACAAACAAAATACATTCATTCTTTAAAATCTGTGGTATGGTAATCTTGATAACAGCAATATTATTAATTTAAAAATATTGGGAGCTTCAAGATATCCAAGGGTTTGCTGGTCTTTTATCTACGCTGTGCGTAGCTTTGAAATCATCATAATTAGTTTGTAGTTCTACTCTAGCTGACAATGGCATGGAATATATCATTGGTTCTTTAAAAATATTCCCGTAAGTTTTTTGTTTACTGTGAATGTTTCTCAAGTAGTGATCTTTATAGAAATATATTAACCTTGTCAACAACAGTTTGTTGTTATTGATTTGACAAGGAGATATGACATTTAAAAAATATTTTTGTTTGTTAAATTTTGTAGAAAGATATACTAATAAAGAATAGGAATCTCAATTCAAATTATTTTTGAAATAAAAGAGAAGGTTGTAAAGAACACTAAAGTTCAAAGCAATGAAGGAAAAGGGGGCCATGCCTTCCCAACTCTAAAAGTTTTTTACAACTTTAACAATATTACAAGAGTGGTCAATTTTTCTGCAATAAAATGAGTTTGGTTAAATATTTTATAGTTAAGTCATATAACTTTTGCCAGTTCAGAATACACAAAGATGACTTTAATTTACAAAATAATTATAATTTTTATTTTCATAGGTGTAGTATTGATGTTAACTTTATAAAAATGTTCATTTACAAAGGGTTTGTTGCCCGTTTACATTCACTGTGCATAATACTGAAGTTACAATTATACAGTTCTAGCCCAGCTAGAAGGAAAGGAATTTTTGGGTTAAAACTCAACAAAATTGAGTGTTTTGTTTTTATTTTGTATTTCTCACAGAGTGACCTTTACAGAAAAATGTTTATCTTTTCAACATAGTTGTTTATTTTAGGTTGTAGTTTTTTCCACTGGAAAACTTTGACGTTAAAAACAATAGATATAAAAGTGATATATGAATAAAAGATATAAGAATCTCCATTTTGTTATATTTTGTTAAAATCTGAAACAATATATAATAGAGAAGGATCTTTAAAGAACACATTTTACATTTGGAAATGTGCACTAGGATCAAAAATCTTGGATCCTTGGTATTCAGTCATGTTTTCTATTGTCTTCCATAAAATAGATAAAACGTAAATGAGTCAAATGAACGAATAAAAAATATTTTTCCTTTAAAAGAAATGAACGAATAATTAATTATCCCTTCATTTCAAACGTATACGAACGAATGAAAAATATAATTTATTTCAGTTTAATCAATTTTATATTGAATGGAATGCATGAAAGCACAAAACGGACAAAACTCCTACCGAGAAGAAACACCGAACGAATAGTTCATGAATGGAATGAGACTCTATAATTTCGATTAAATCCGTCAGGTGTCAGCAAAAGTCAAGACAAGCAGAAATGGAAAACAAAGGTAGGTCGTGTTTCCGTTGACCTGTGATATGTTACCCCTTTTGCCAAATAGCTAAAGTATAACTTTTGTGCATCAAACAGGAAACAATTGGATACTTATATAAATAGCTGCAGCGAACAAATAAATAAGTTACAACTTTTGATCTTAGTATGATCACTCGATCTTAACGCGTTCTGGAACACCTGCAACAATGCCAAATTAATATGACAGCGAATCCCGGCTTAATCGGTGTTTTGTTTTGTTGATGATATGTTATACATGAAACGAATGATACATTAAGGTTGTACAACTACAGTAATCCGTTATTATTTTTGATGCATGAGCAATTGTGTTTTGCATAATGTTATAACATTAGACGATCATTTCAGGGGGTTACCCTCTACCATGCCATTGAATCTTGATACTGATACCATTAAAACTATGTCAGATCCATGAGGTATAGATTATGTACTGGTGGCTTTAGTGACACTGATAGTGATACATGTATTTAGTGGCTATGACCAGACCCTTATGTCAACAAAGATACACAGATAATTGACATCAAGGTATGCAAAACACAATTTTTTGTAATGGTCTATTTACGTATTGAGGGTGGCATGAAAGCTATGTATGAAAGCTTTTTAAACAATTTAACCTTTTGCCTTTCTTTTCCAGTTGTCCTTCCAATGACTTAAAGCTTTTATCTGACCATATCATGAAACCTATTTTCATGGTAACATTCGTGATATATTGTAAAAAAAACTAAATAAATAAATTTCATAGTCCTGTACACTTGAATTTGACTTAAACTTGCAGTANCGTTTGACGTCATCTGCTGCGCAGATGTTCAAAATAGGCTATCCCGGACATCTCCTATTACCAGTACTTTGGTACATAACAAAGAAGACATGCATAAACCCTATTTTCAAAACCAAAGTGATATATTTCACGTTATAACTATTTTTTATATATTTAGCAAGATGCCTGCTAAGGTTAAGGTCCGTATCCTCGGTGGCCGAGGTCTCCCCATCATGGATAGGGCTAGTGACCTGACTGATGCTTTTGTTGAGGTAAGTAGTGTATTAGCATTTATAAATTCAATATATTTGAAAAGTAAAATTATTTGCTATGTTTAATAATTATGTATTTATGTTGGGCATTAACGGGAGTCACCCTAACAATTTTATGAAAAGGAGTAAAAGAGCGGAGCGTAACAGTGCATATCCTTACCACACTGGATTGCTGCTTGAAGTCAGTCTTTAAAATTTTGTACAGTTACTAGCCAGTGTTTCTGCTTTGAGTCAGTATATTAAACTTTCTATATGCACAGAATTGTGAGCAAAAGAAAAAATTGTGTTTGAAGTAGCATAATCATTTGTAAATATGTGTTCAATGGGATTTCAGGTAAGGTTTGGAAATGTTACCCAAAAGACTGACGTTTTCAGAAAATCGTTGAACCCTCTTTGGAATTCTGAGTGGTTCAGATTTGAGGTAGGAACCTGTGTGTGTGTGTGTGTGTGTGTGTGTGTGTGTGTGTGTGTGTGTGTGTGTGTGTGTGCTTGTAAGTGTGCATGCATGTGTGTGATTATAATTATTTTAATTTTAATTACAAAATAGGATTTGATGTAGAATTTTCTTTGAGTATCTGCTTGTGCAGATTATAGAAGTTCTAAAAGTAGTTATTGGTACTATTAGGATGTTTTGATCTAATGAATGCAGTATTATCAATTCCGGGTGTTATCTCTAAACGTACCAAGGATTGGGATTTTTATATCATACTACTTGGTTTTTCATGCTGATTATAGCAATCCAACTGTTTAATGTTTTTCTGATAATTTTTAAAACTTTTCTTGTAGGTGGATGATGAAGATTTACAAGATGAACCACTGCAACTGCGGTAGTATAATTTTAATCAACTTTAACAGGTGTTGCGTCATATTGATTTGTTTTAAACATACTGATAAAGATAAGGAAGATTTGTGCAAATTTTCAGGTGTGGTGGCTAAATAGATGAAACATATTATTTTTATTACAAAACCTATTTTTTGCCTTACAGAGTGCTGGACTATGATACATACAGTGCCCATGATGCCATAGGGAAGGTTTACATTAACTTAAATCCCCTGTTGTCCAAAGATAGTGCATCCTCAATATGTGGATGGTTTCCAATCTATGACACCATGCATGGTAAGCAGCAGCAGTTTGTCCAGTATGTAGTGTTTGAAGTTTATACCACTTTGGGCATTTAGTTCCAAGATTGAGGGTACAATAATTGAGGTAGAAAGTGAAGTTTTTTATTATGCACATAATTGCATGCTGTCAACCCAAGCATAATCAATATGTATAATATTTAATATTTAGATTTTAGAAGTGCATATAAGTGTAAATGTACATACAAATTAATTATAATTTTCAGGAATCCGAGGCGAAATAAATGTGATAGTGAAATTGGAGCTGTTCACAGATGTCAACAGATACAGACAGTCCTCCTGTGGAGTTCAGTTTTTTGGAAGTAAGATGTCTGAAGATTAATGCTTTTAAAATTCAGTTCCCCTTTAATTTTGATATTGATCATAAAATACTTAAGGTATTAACATTATTTTTTTTTATTAAACAATCAAGTTTAAAAAATGTAAAGGAAAAACTGCAAAAATTCCAATGAAGGGCAGTGAGATCATGCTGGAAGTTTATTCAGATCATGACTTCCAGTAAATTTTTTCAAACATAGGCTCCTTGGGTAAAATCGACAATATTTTTTTGAAAAATAGAAAAGGTGTCTTTCCAGCGCTTGTTCTTATAGTCTAATTGTTTTGTCATGTTTTTCTGATTGTTTGCCATTAAACTGGTGGTAGGTGTGAGCATCAGAACTATTGCCATGCTGAATTTTTTCCCCCAATAAATGTACATGTATTAAATGAGATGTGAATTCATTTTAATGTGTAGACTAAGAATTTTAGCATGTTACCTTACAGGTACCTGTGTTCCTTATGGCTACAGGGCTCAGGCTATCTATGGGTTTGTGGAAGAGCTAGTGGTCAATGATGACCCCGAGTATCAGTGGATAGATAAAATAAGAACTCCAAGAGCATCAAATGAGACCAGACAGAGGCTGTTCTCAACTCTGTCAGGTGAATGTCCTATTTTTTTTTTTAGTTTTTCTTTGTTATGGTAATTACAAATGTCTGCTTTAGCTGTGTTCTCATGGTCATTAACTTGATACATTGATGTTAAAGGCTCTTGTCATTGTTTAAATTATATGCATGATTTTTCTTTTCTAATTGCATTTTTACTTTAATTTTTAGGAGAGCTCCAGCGCAGGATAGGTTTAAAAGTTTTGGAAATGGGTGGGAATGCCATCATCGGGTGAGCTGTACTACATCAATTTGTTTAAAGGATATGGTGCATGAAAAGTATCAACATCTTCCATGTGATTTAATCAAACAGTAAATTTTTAGAAGCTTCAGGGTAATGTCAGTACATGTGAAACAGCAAACAAATTATTCAACTGAAATATGTTTTTCTATTGTTTCTTATGTTATCATAAAAATGATATCATTGTTTTCTTCCCTGTGAGGAATGACATTTTTATCACTTTCATGAACTGATGAGTCGGTCAAGTGAACAGTCATACTCAGTCCATTAAGAAACAATTCACTTTTTTCCACAATTTTTTTTTATTCTAACCAAGCCTCATTTTTCCAGCTATAGACAATGTTTTGACTTGGAAGGAGAGTCGGGTATTGTGGTGAGAGGCATTGGGTCAGCTGTCTCCATAGTGAAGCAGGTGTTGTTGTCCTCTCCACCCAGTTGTTCACCAGTCAGCAAGTAAGTGTCTGTAGTATGGAGTAGTTAAGATCACCGAGTTCTGCAGTTGATCTTTGGGTGAAAATGAGGGAGAAGTAGTGAGAATGGTTGGGAGGTGCATATGGTTCATTATGGCATACTTTTTTTCTTTGTGTAACCTTTTTATGTATGGTTTATATTTACACACAACTTTATGACAGTATGTTAATGTTTTTCTTTTTTTCTTTTGATCAGATGTGGTAAATAATGAAAGATGCATGTAGTAAGACATGGAAGTTTTGTAGTTTTACTGTAGAAATAAGTGATAGGCCAGTTCCACATTCCCCGTCATCGATAGTAAAATCATCTGGTACTTTAAGTTAAAAGCTGAAGTTGGTAATATAACACTCTACAAATGTCTTACAAATGAGACAAAGATGAGCTCATTTGCTGTTTAGCAATGGATCTCAGAAACAACAGCAACAGACGCAGCAGCAGAGAGTGCCTGATGAGGTGACCTCTGACCCTGTTGGAGGTGCAGCTAGTGCAACAGATAAAGGGTCAGATAGTTGTGAGGTGAAAGAGGAAACAGGGGTGACCGAGGAGGGCAGTGGTGGGTCAACTGGTCACTTGCTGGCATGGCCTTGTTTAAAAGTATACTAGTGCATGCTGATCATCCTGTTATGTGTTTGCCTTATTTGTTTCTTGCCTACAGATATGGTTCGTTGTTGGAATGATTTATTTATGTATTTATTTATTTTATTTATTTATTTTATTTTTATTTATTTTATTATTATTTTTTTTTGTAGTTTTATTTATTGTTGGTCATCTTTTTTGTTTATTATTATTATTATTATTATTATTATTATTATTATTATTATTATTATTGTGTTATCAGCATTTCCCTTGCTTTATGACAATTTGATTCTGTGACAGTATCTTCAGGTGTAAGCTAGAGTTGAAAGCTTACAATCTCTTTAAATAATTACACTGTCTGCATGTTGCTCAAGATTTTGAAATTGAAAAGCATTTTTGTCTATACAGACACTTCTCAGAAATGAATAGGAATACAGCCATGAAAAAGAAGTACTTTTTTTTACACTTTTTCTACTTGTCACCAGAGACATAATAATTACAAAGATTGATTTAGCATTTCTGCAAGAATATTCTTTGTGGAACAAAGATGCTTTGCTTAATCAAATCCTTTGACATTATAATGGTCATTAATTGCAAGTTACAATGGCAGTTTCTCAAAATTTTAGCTTGATGATTTACAGTACTTAAATGAAACAAATGTCACTGAATCATTTTTCTCATTTTGTTTGTGCATAAACCCTTTGGTTTCTCTTTGATATTCTGCATTTATAGCAGTTTTTAGTGTCTGTTAGGTATGCACATATACTTTATGTTAGATGGGATTAGCTTATTTGGCCCTTTCTTTGACACCTTACAATTTTCAATTTCAGTTTGGAGCCAGTCCTAGCATCCTCTTTTTCGCCGCCACAATCGCAATCCCTGCACACCAATCGATCTTTTCCATTCTTTCGCAGGTCTAATAGTACCCCCAGTACCTCAATAAAGCCAGCGAGCAAGATTAATTACAGTGACCCAACCACACCCACCCGCTTAGCCAGCCCCTTCTTTGCTTTCAGCTTTGTTGTGCCTGAAGAGAGTGCTGTTGTGACAACCACTGCAAATGTTGCCAATGTGTGTGCCACTGCACCGCCCCTCATGGCTGGCTCAGCAAACCCCTTTAAACTGTCCACCTCCCCCACTGCAAGACCCCCGGGACAAGGCATGCCTGTGTTAAGTCGAAGATTGTCAGACTCTGAGCTCGGGTCTCCTAAAGGTATTGTGCCATGCTGCTTCAGTGTACTTGTTTGTATTAAGGCATCTGTATGGGTTACTTCACACTGTTTTCCCCTTCTACTTTATTGGCCCTGACATTCCTACCTATTTAATTCATAAAACTTAATATAGAGTGCAGTAGACTTTTTCTGTATCTTTTCCATTGGATAAAAAGAAATGTTAAAATATGTCTTAGAGCTACAAAGAAATATTAAAGGGGAAATTACTGTGAAATGGCCCATAAACTGATTTGAATTGGTTGTAGGTAAAACTTTGTCTTTGTCACTTTCTAAATGTATTGGACCTGGTATTTTTGAACTTAAAATACAGTAAACCCTGAGATACTAAAGACACATTCAGTTTGTTTTATTAACAAAAAATGTGTTAGTCTTTTTAGATTGATAGACATTTGTCACCCTAAGATTACTGAGGCCTCAACTCTGTTATCAGCATTTATTTCCAGTTAATATCTATGCTTATAATAGAGATGAATTTCCAGTAATCTCTTTATGGGTGGGATAAGATAGCATGGATTGAATAAGGTACATGCTTCTTGGTATTTGGGACTAATTTTTTAAACACCACCATTTGCATGTTATGATGTACTCTGTAGTGATGATGATTTGAGATGTTCTAATGTGATTAATACTATAATTTGGTATTCTTTGTTTTAACATATAAATATTTTGGAACCACATGCATATATGTAATTCATTGTATTTGAAAGCATCTACTAGTATGTACTTTTCACCAGGTGTCATTCCATTCTATAATAACTTGTTAGTGCATGTCATTTAGTAAAATATTAGGATTACAATAAATATTTCATTCTTTATTCAGGTATTTACACATCTAAAGGTAAAGACTCTGTCAGTGTAATCATAATTTTATATGTACAATCTGGAGAATTGAAGTGCATTTTGGTGGTTGAATTTTTAGTACTCTAAATAATATTGCTTTGTGTCTATTTCATTGTGTAAAATAGCCCTTCTGTAAATTTTTTTAAGTAATCTCCCAAGAATGTGATCACATATTTTTATCAGTATAAATTTTGTCATTCAATTCAGTTATATGTGTCGCTAAAGACAGATTCAGAAGACAAGAAATAATAACAAAGCTAATTGTGGTAGATGCCTATTAAGTTTACCTTTATAAATGTTTTTACAACACAGCACATTATTTTTTCCACATATTAGTTTTAAAAAATATATGCCAAGATGATATTTTGTCCTAGTCTTCAAGTCATATACTTTGCTTTATATATAATATTTAGCACTTCCTTTACTTTGTCCATGTTATCAGATATATTGTTTTAAAGTCATTTAGTCATTTATAAATACACTTATTAAATGAATTTCTGATTTGATACCCCTGGTAAACAATTTATATATATAAAGTATGTGCACCCATCTCTGCGTTTAAGTTCAATGACATTAAAATTCTTGAATGTGTGTGTATGTCTAAATATGCAAATATGCAAATATTTTATGATGAATGACGATTGATGTTGTCTGGGGTACTAATTCTCTAGTACTTTATTTAGGAAGTTTGACAGGTAGCAGTGGCAGTGGAGCAGATAGTCTTAGTGCCAGGATACCATCTCTCAGGCCATTACTGCCACCACAGAGCATAGAAATTTTGGTATATGTGATTTATTTCCTATATTTAAGAAATATTTCTCCATAAAATTCTTTTGACTTATTGTGTTATAGTAGGATGACTGTTTCTTTATTTCTGAGAACTGAGAAGGTGTAGATTTTGTTTATCTTTAATTAGGAAGGCAAAAAAGTAGTTTGTTAAGTACCTGCCATAAGATGAAATTAAATAAATTAGTTTTATTTCCTTTCCTTATCTATTGTATGTTGCATATATTGTGCATGGAAAAGAAATTTAAAAAATAATAATAATGATAATAATAATACTAAATGAATAGAATAAAATGAAATTTGGCTAAGTGAAGGTATATTTCCTTCTGATTTTTTTTCAGGAATACCCCTTCTTCACCATAACTTCATTCCCTGCAGGTTTTATAGTTCACCTGGGTGGTGTTGTATCAGCCAGATCTGTAAAACTTTTGGACAGAATACACAATCCAGGTACTCTTATTGTTAGATTAGAGACTCATCATATTTGAAAGTGAATTAAGTCATATGTTTTAAGCATTCATATGTATGTATGTATGGACACTGAGTAATTTACTTATTTTTTAGTTTGAATTTAGCGGTTTTAATTTAGTACAATTTGACACAGTTAAATGATAAATAATGAACTCCCATCATTATTCATCGTGTTTATTTAATTTTAAATTTGTGTCTGATATTTTCCACATGAGTTCATCAATCCCTCTGCTTACATAAATTGACAGGAAACACTACTATATGCAAACAGATAGTTTCAACATTTTTATCCTCCAGAGGAGCCAGAGACAAGAGATGCCTGGTGGATAGAGATCAGAACTGAGATGAGGTCACATGCCAGAGCCATGGGATGCCATGCTGTGGTGGGATATGTTGAACACACAAGTATATGGTAAGACACTATGTATTTGATCTAGACATTGTTTTGTATCTGAGACTGCTGAAGTTAAATATATAGCTGACAGGATATTATAACAATTTGTTCACTTTCTTATTTATATTATTATAGTGATGAAATCATAGTCCTATCAGCCACTGGCACTGCAGCAATAGTCAACATGAGTATGGAAAAAGAACAACTACGAACCCAGCAACAGCAGCAACAGTTACTTACCATGTCACTAGACAGGACTCTTTTTGACAGAGAGAAGGAAAAGGAAAAAGATAAGAAACTCCATATTGATGTCAACCTGGCCAACCAGCAAAGAGACCCACATGGATCAGAAAGGTCAGAACTAGGCGTTTCTCATTCAGCCATGCACTTTTTTCAGTGGTTTTATTTTTTCCTAAAAATCTATATTGTAACAGCACTACAATAACAACAATTATTTTTTAGGTGAAAAAAAGATTAAGCACTTTTTGCCGAGGAATCTAAAGCTTGTCAGAAAGTTTTTCGAAAAAAAAATCATAATTTTGTTATGATACACCCTGAACATATTTTGAATAATTGAATAATTGGCATTTCTTTCCTTTAACATATTTCATCAATGCACTTTTATCTTACATCTCATTGCACAACACAAGTTTTGAATTTTCTGTATATCAGTGCATTTTTTATTCTTTTACTGGACTTTCAAAGAGTATAACACAAACAACATTGTGTGCTCAGCACAGGTTATCTAGTTATAATTTTTGCAGGTCCAACAAATAAAAATTGCATATATTTCTTAACTAGATGTCTTATAATCTCATGGAAATTTTGTAAGTGACTTTCTGTTTCCAGTGATGATGCATATGACTGTAGCCTGTGCCATGTGCCATACAATGAGACATCAGCTCCTTTCCCCGTCAGCCTGAGCCGCTGCACTATATGCAAGTGAGTTATCCCCCCTCCCCAATAGAATTATTTTGTATTTATGATCTCATAGTGGTGTTTCATGATGCCAATTTTAGGTGAGTTTAATGAATAGAAATAGTATTATTTAGTCACCATTTTCAGGTGGGATGTCAAGTTGCCAAATGGTAGAAATATGGACAACTACTTTTATTTTGACTCCTACTAGTGTGTAACCCCTTACTTAAAAGGAAGTAAAATATTTTGGCATCAAAATAGAATAGCATTGTTGTATCTTATACTTTGTTTTGAATGATTGAAGAAGGTTAAATTAACTTTGGGCATGAAAAGAAAAGGGGTAAAATGTGATTAAAAGCTGTTTTAATGGAGCTTTTGACTCAGGAAGCCTTCACAGATTAGCTACGTAATTGATTGAATTGAATGCTTATTCAATAGTTGATATTACTCTCCCACAATAGTTGATATTACTCTCCCATTCAATAATAACATATGCCACATCTTCATTATTTTTCTCCTATGACAATAGAAGATTATATATGGTTCAGTTATATCAGCAGTATTCTTGGAAGTGAAAAAATCTGGATGTTAATTATACTTCTCACATTGTGTACATCTTCCCGTTAGGCGTGGCAAGGTACCTGATGTGCTGTTCACCACAGTGGAGCCCCCAGTAGAACTGGTGACAGTAGGAAAAGGTTGTCTGGTACAGGCAAGGTATGGACTAGTTAATTTTGATATAATCACAGTTAACATACAGCTGTATCTCAATTCCCGTAATATTCTCGTTTGATCAAACTTTGAACACTGTGCACATGTATATTTATTCTTAATAACTAGTTTTATACAACTGTTTCCTTTTTATCTTTCATACCATTCCTATTTTAGGATCTGTCGACCAAAAAAAGAAGCAAAAGCAGGAGAATCCAACGCTAAAGAAGTCAGTGACGTAAGGGACATTTATTATTTAGTGATCAAAAAGGAAATATAAATTAAAGATATTATTAAGAAAGAAGTACCAGATGCTAAGGACCAAGATTTGACATCCATGCTCTTAGAAAGAGAGGTTTTTTATCTCCATAAACAGGTCCTTATAATGTTAATCCTTTTTAAATTTTGTTTTCCTTTTAGAATTTACCATTCATGGAATATGAACTTCACAGTCAGCTTATGAACAAATTGAAAGTAAGTGATTATAAATTACCAGATGTGTTGTTCACCACAGTACTGTACTTATACAGAGCCTGATAAATGCCTGCCAGTTAAATAATATAGAATAATTGAGCAATAAAATTTATGCAATACATGTAAGAACAAGGAAGCTTGAAAAGGTTCAAGTAATTTTTCAGGTTGGATCTTGACACTTTTTCAAGCTGTTTCAGATCACACCACAGATATTTATGTGTATTTGTAAATGCATGAAAAAGGCACATATGCACCCACACACACACACACACACAAACACACACACACACACAAAGATATTGTTTTTTTTTTTTTTTTTGGTGGGGGGGGAACAATTATTCATTTTGTCCATATTTATTGAAAAATTATTGTAATATATGTGCAATTACTTTCTTCCCCAGGTAAAGGGCATGAATGCACTGTTTGGTTTGAAGATTCAGGTGGAAGTTGGAGAGACTATGCTGATAGCTGTTGCAGTAAGATTCACTTACTTAAATTACCTACTTATATTCCCTTTATGTTTTTGAAAAAAAAATGGTATCAAATAGTTAAATTGAAATACTCAGAATTGTTTCCAAACATAGATAAAAAGCAATTTAGCTAGAAGGCATTTTGTTTAAAAAATATTTTTTGTGATTCACAGCCAGTGGAGATGCCAGTTGGGATATGGTATTTTTGCTGTTACGAAATAATTTTTATGTAATGATGTCTTGCTTAGAAATTTTCTGTTTTTGTTTTCAGACTGCTACAGCTGCTTATATTGCAGCCCTACCCTCACCCCCTGTACCAAGAGTAAGTGGCAAGGTATGCATGCAAGATATCTTCTAATCTGCTAATCTCACTCCACTGTGAACAGTTTACCTCCAAAAGATTACATACAAATTTTCACTTTGACGTAGCACTGTATAACACAGATTGTATTGGGTTTTCAATTTATTGGTGCTTGGGCTGTTAATATTCTATTTTGGTATCATAGGTTTTAGATTTTGTTTAAGAGCTTCTGAAAGAACTGAACAGGAAATGTGTGCTAGTCAGAGGGAGGAATATAATTTCTCATAATATAATGAATAATTGTGCACAGAAATAACTTAGATACATTTAACAAATGCATGTTAATGGCAGGGTATTCAGAGTAAAATGGTAATATCCCTAGGTTTGTTTTTAGTTTCAGGTGTTAATTTTTTCGTTTGATAATAAATTTACTGACATTCACCATTTTCCTTGCGCTACAACTTTCACAATTCACAAGCTGACATGACTACCAAATTANCCCCGGCTACGGGCCTGCACCTTTGACTTTTTTCATCTTAGAGCAGTGTGTATTGACTGTAGATAGGATAAATACATTGGTGCCTTTATAGGCATTTTCTTATATAAAATTTCTTTTCATTATGTATTTTGTTGCTTTGTTATCTTATGTACATATATGTAATGTATATAATTACTACCACACTGCATGGTGTAATTGGCTGCTATATTTAATTATTTTGTAGAAATGTTAAGTTCCTACATTGTTCCAGAAAAATCTCTGTTCATTTATGCATATTTGCAAGGTTTCAATTGAATCCACTTTCTCTCATTTTCCAGGACTCTTACTCAGAATCTGGCTCCAAGGGTCCTCCCAGTGATAGTGAAGAAGAGCTGTCTGAATTAGACATGTCAGCTGGCAATAAGGACACTTATATCATAGAGTTGGATGATGCCGAGGATAAGGCTGTGGTTTCTGTGTTATTTGACAGTGAGGTCCCTGATGGATTTTATGCATGCAACACTGAGTTCATGCCTGGACTGTGTAACCTGGTCACAACACTGCAGGTGATTGTGTGTAGCAGTATAAGGATTTCTTTCCTTAAGTATTTTTCTCGAGAACAAACTCTAGAAACAAAGGCCTGCTAGATATGCAGAAAAAAAATTATTTATGTAATTAATACTGATCATTGCGTATATAGTTTTAATATGTAAGTGCCTACTGAAAAACATAATTGTTGATGTATGCTTGGAAGCATGTTTGCAGTGCTTTGAGGTTGATTAGTGTATGTGTGTTAGTAGCATATTGATATTTTTTATAACACTGGTTCATTGTTTGTAGATGTTCACAAGAGTATGGAGGGGAGAGGTCAAGGCTAAAACAAACCAAGAATTCTCCAACATTCTTGAAGGATTGATCAGAGTACGTTCGTATTTAAACATTAATGAGGAAACTGTTAATATAACTGAAGCTATACAAAATTACTTAATTAAAATGGAAACATATTTTTGGTTATGTATACTTGTTTTACTGCCATGAGACCCCTGACTATATTTTTAAAAATATATATATTTTTATGGATTGTCATTCTAACCATTTTTTGTCACTCTTATAGGGCATATTTTTTAAACTACGCAAATTGTCCCCTTGTGTTGTATGTGATTTGTCATTTGACTTGGACTTACCAGATGAATCTTATGTTCAGGTAGGTAGAATAATTCAGTATTCTTAGGTGATAAGGTTATAAGTTGTTGGCAAATCTATTGTTTATAATAAAATTATATTCAAAAATAGTGTCTGGAATTGATGTCGCAGGATAGCAGACTAAATTAACCGGCCGGTCAGTTTATTCTAATAATTAACTGTTAGCCAACCAGTCAGAAATTACCTAAATACTGATCATGTAACAGTTTATTTTATATACTGCAGCTTGAAAAGGGAAACTAAAATATATGTTAATTCAATGTTTTCTATGTTTGGCAGGTTGCTATCACAGCTATTTGTGCAGTTTTTATTGAACAAGCAGATAGTGTCTCCCTAGATTCATCATTAAGTCAAGACAAGCCAATTTCCAAGTCAGAAGCAGACGACATGATGTTTCACATGGAGGAAGATGGTGTTGAGAATGTTCAGCAGAGAAGTATGTTTAGTAACAGGCATGGATATTTTATGCAGTTTTCAAAGGTCAAAAAGTAAAAAAAAAAAAATACATACAAAGCCAGAGTAAAGTTGGGAGGGCTAAAGTTCTACCATTTTCCTGTACTGCTGCTCACATCCCTGAAGTAAACTGTAGTAATAATTAATCAGTCAACAAAGATGAATTTTTACAAGTGTATAAACAAATAATACATGGAGGTTGATTTATCTCAACAAAATATTTTGCAGCAAGGAAATTATCTGGTCATGGAGACAGAAGAAGTTGGATCCAGCAGGTATTATTCTACTTTTCATCCATGGTATTACTTCTAAATAATTGGAACTTTGGAATAAATACTTTGTATTTTTCTCACTTTTTAAAAAGATTAAATGCTTTGGTTTACTTTTTACAGAAACCAATTCTAAAGTATGGAGTGGAGCTGACACCTCTTAGCTATATACCAGGTGGAAGAATAGATACATATCTGGGACATCTAAATTTTTTCTATATCAGAGAAAGCACTTCACTACGAGAAGTAAGTCAGATGCTTTGTTTTATTTATTTCATATTTAGAGAAAACATTTCTTTCCATCTTGAATTTTTTTTGACCAAGAAGTGACATAGTAGAGGAAAAGATGAAGCATTGCTTCAGACGAATACCTGTATACCAGCACATATGGTGTAAAAGTCAGTTTAGTTACATGTAGTACATTTTAGCTCATTTCTTACTAATAAAAGTGGTTTTAAAAGCAATGTAATTTAATTTTATTTTAATAATATTAAAATATTTACATGAAGATTAATCACTAACAAATTTTGTCATCCATCATTTCCAGAATGGTGGCCTGAGTGGCTTCATGCACAGCTTTATAGCCGAGGTGATGGCTATAGTAAGAGCTCATGTGGTTGCCTTAGGTGGGAATGCAATGGTGGCATACAGAATGAGTGAATGTGTTCTGTTGGACAACCCTAACCGCAACCAGGTAGACTAATTGGATAGGCAGTTTCCTATGAATTTTTTAAGTTTACAAACTTTCAGATGGGTTGTAATGCAAGTTAACTTTAGCTTGAAAGAAAGTGTGCCCTAGTGTCAGGTTGCACTGCATCCATTCAGCAATTATAAACCTAATATTTTCTGTCCTAGGGCCAGTGTCTCATAAATGTCAGTGGGGATGCAGTTCAGGTGATATATGATGCAGATATGAACCCAGCAATACAGCTAGCAGCCATGGCAACAGCCAAAGCAGACTCGCCGTCTGACTCAGTCAAGTTGTCCACTGAAGGAAGACAGGCAGGACTACTGACAGTGGACATAGCCAAGGCTAACAGAAGGGGAGGGAGAAGTCCTGCGGTCAGTCCAAATCCAGCAGGAAGACAGGTCCAGTTGGCTTCACTTGTTACAGATGTGTAACAGTGGGATTATGTCATCAATTTCGTGTTATCCAGTCAAGTTTTACTTGGCTTAGCAGCATTGTTTGATTATGGCAACATCTCACTTTACATATCATTTGGCAGCATGCCACACAGATGCATAAGTTACAAGGTGCTCTGTTCAAAATCTGAAGTTTTTAAAATTTTTCAACGTTCTTTATGTCATTCAGAAATCCAAAGAAAAGGATAAAGATTTAAAAATGACTTTTATGACAATTTTTAAAAATTAATTTTAAAAACATCTTTTGGGCATGTGAATTAATCTGGTGTTTCTTTAAAAAAAAGGATAATTATTTATGATTTTGAAAAATGTTCCAACAAATAGAAATCCGTCTCATTGTATTGTAGCTAATTGAGAATTGTAGCCTTTTTGAAATTGTGCTGTACATTGTACAATGTTTTTGTAAATAGCAGCATAACATTTTTACTGTACTTTGTTGTAAAAATATTGTGCAATAAAGAATTAAACAATTTATTGAAGGCTCTTCATGTCATATATTTAAATGCTGATTAGTGCAGTTTCAACATTGATGGGTTCACAAACACGTGAAAATACTTGTCTTAAATGAATTGCAACAATCTTCACATGATTTGTTGTGCACTAGTTTGACCTCCAGACAGACAACAATTTCATACTGCTTCAGTCCCACTGGAGTCGCTGATAATTTCTGTTCTGATTCTTTTCATTCTTTTAATAAATAATCGTCGTCTTTGTCTAAATGTTAAACCATATTCCTCCTCAGGAGTGTCATATGCCAACACCTTAGATGTACTATGTGACGGAAGAGGAGAACTTGTCATAATTTCCCTCATCAACTTTTCTTTTAATCTTGTAGATCGTCTTAATACTGGACTGTGATTTAAAGTATTTGACAGTCTGGTGTCACATGAATGGGATAACCTTTTAATCAAGCGAAGTCTTGGGGGTTTATAATTATTTGATCTCCTAAATACTGGTGATACAAGCTCACTTTGATCTTCACTTTTTGAGGTATTGCATAAATGTTTCACTGAGCTTTTGGCAATTTTTAATTGCATTTTATCACTTTCATTGCAGGCATCTTCCACATCACTAATAGATACATCCTCCACAGGAGAAGGAACTTGCAGTGGTTTATCCCCAACAAATTGTAGTGGTATCATTCCTTTTGGGAGACTCCTATGAGAAATATATTTAAAGAGCTACCCGAATTTTGTCTACTTCTTAGCCTTGTGCTTCTTCTTTGTCCAGATCTGTGTCTAGATCTTCTTTCACCATTACCTTGTGCTGCTAATCTGGCAGGGAATTGTGGAGAGACCTTGAAGAGTGAAATATTTACAATCATTATTTTACCAAAAAATTGTATCAGAAGCACTATTATAAAAGTTATTTGTTTGATAATAAAGAGGCCATTCAGAATGAGAATAGCCAAGCGCTAGCTAGGCCACGACCTAAATATATGAAAGGAAGACTGCTTAATCCTGTAATGGTCTCTTTGCCTCCCCCACGCCTCCCCATGCGTGTCCCTGCAGGGGCACAATTATTAAATCTCGGCTCAATTCAACTGGTCGATTGCTGGCATAAAATATTAAGACATAAAAAATTTTGCTATGATTATTGATTTCCATTTATCAATGTATATCAATTACTGATGTGATTGGTAAAAGGAAAACTAAAACAATTCATACCCATACAGGGTTTACTTCATCTGCTGGTATGGTCTTAGCAGTAGGTGGATGATCACTTGCATACACTGGGGAGGGAACATTACGCAGTATGCTAACTGGACTTTCCTCAAAGAGCAATGGTGGTTTTCTGTGATCAACTGATTTCTTTCTTGTCCTGCGTCCTGGCATTCTACAAAGAGGAAATTGATTTTTTGAAGCTTGTTTTTTCTTAAAACAATAAATCTACACCAACAAATGCACAATAACCTTTTACTTCAACAACAGACTAAATAAACATTTGATTGATTCATTTGATTGTGAAAAGACTATCGTAATGTATACTGTAAGACCGAAAAGTGAAGCAAAGGCAAAACCCACAGGTCGCATGCTAACTCACATGATACATAAGAAGAAACTATCTTGGCAGTGCACAAATTTCAAATCCAAGAGAATAAAGTTTGAACACTCAAACATTGAGACTCAAAAAAAGTTAGTAGAATGCTTATTAACAATTAAGACAACACATCAGCCTTACTTTAACCCTTTGACTTTTACCTTATGACCAAATTTTGCTGGATGTTTTGACACAAAATCAACTTCCCGGTGTTTTAAATTTTACGCCCTTGTAACCTAATGTTAGACGTCTTTTGATAAGTCAATCGTTTGGGCTTCCCTTATTTTCGACCAATAGAAATCTGTGTACTTCAGGCGTGTCTCGTGATATCTCGTGAAAAGACGCAAGTCCAATGTTACAACAAGATTATGCACTAACTCAACGGTTAGCAGATAAAGTAACATTCAAGAAGCCGTCTGCAGTACATTTTTTGATATATTACCTTTTCAATATTTTAAAATGATTCAAAAGTTACGACATGTAACTGTTTGATAATTTTCGAAACTTTTCGAGAAACGAATTTGTAACTTTGCCTATTTGGTAAACATGACGTTAGGCACGGTGTCTGGTAGATGTCTAGACGACCTTTCATGCAAGTACATGTAGATTGAGAAGAGTAAATAATGGTGGTATGTAGTTATCTTTCTTTTTTAAACTGTCTTTTTTTAGTGGTGTAGCATGATTTAGCTTTTTTTTCATGTCCCAAATGCTTTAAGTGCGTTCTCTTTTTGAAGGTTGACCTTAGACTCAGTCAGTGGGGCGAAATTCTATGGCATGTCATACATTGCTTTGTCACAAATTCCCAAAGATGAAAGGAATGTGTTCACCTACTTGACTCTGAGGCAAGCACGTATAACACACACACACACACACACACACACACACACACATATGAATATTATAGACACTGAAAAGGTGTGCTACCGCATGGATAGAGAAATAAAAACTTGGGTATACATGTACTGAGTACGATCGAGTAGGCGTTGTTTGTCTAGATGTCATTGTGAGTTTTGCCTCAGTGTAAGGCCTTAGAGTGAGGCAACCAGAATCTGCAATGTGACCGGCACAAGTGATTTAGGGCATATTTAGACTACAGCTAAGGATCTCTTGTTGATCTTCATGCTGTTGAATTTTTTAATGTACAATATATATCATATGCAGTAATTATATAGACACATTGTGAAAAATGGGGTTGTGTCATTCTTTTAAGATTTATGTTTGTTAATTATGTGACCTGTTTTAATAGCTTCTTAAAATTGTTTTTCTTTAATTGCAGGGCATGAAAACATACATGTACCAGTATATGTAGCCCATCAGCCTTAAGCAAAATGCAATATGGATGAAGTAACAGTGGTGACATCAGATGGCAAAGCAATTTCAGCAACAAAAGCACTGCTGATGTCTGAAAGCTTATACTTCCAGGCATTATTCCATAGTGGGATGCAAGAAAGTCTTCAGGGAACTATCAAATTAAGAATGGTGGATTCAGACACCATGTTCAGTGTAATGAAGTTTCTCTCAAATGGGAGTATTAATATCACAAAAGAGAGCATTGATGTCCTATATGATGCTGCAAGTTACCTCCAAATTCCAACATTGATCAATCTTCTTGAGACCTTCATCATTGAGAATCTGTCAATGGAAACTGTCTTTGATTCCTCTAACTTGGGTTTCAGATACTCGAGTAGTGCTCTCAAAGATGCAACAAATGAATATTTGTGCAGACATTTAAAAGAAGTCTCAAGGCAGCCAGAATTCTTGAATTTTGAGTGGGGCCAGATTGAAGCCATACTACGGAGTGATTACGTTGAAGTTGACACAGAACTGGACTTATTTAGAATTGCTTTGAGATGGATGAGAGGAAACTCAGAACACACCAAAAAACCATTGCGTCCAACTCATGAAATGTATACGGCTTCCACTAATAGCAGAAAAGGATATCATATCTGATATACAGCCTTTATCATTCATTCGCAGAAATGTAGAATGTAAAAAAATTATTCAGGATGCACTGGATTATCATGAGAATCCAAGATTGGTCCATAAACTGAAGGTTCAATTACGAAACTGTGAACCTGTCATAATGACAGTAGGGGGAATGACACGTAGCTGGCAAGCTTCAGACAAAGTGAAATGTGCTTTTGTTGAACACATTACTGGAGACTATCTTGAGACGAGAAGCTATACTTTCTTTAAGAATTATCCTCAGTATAGAGCACCCCAGTGTTTCTATGAGCACAGTGCATGTGTGCTTGACAATGTGCTGTATGTGGCTGGGGGACAGAGTAACTACAGCACGGATGGAAAGTATGCTCATGCCCACATGTACAGATTTGATCCAAGGTTCTGCACTTGGACCGAGGTAAAGTTGTTTATAACTTGTAAAAGATTTAACATTGGCGTGTATAAAGTAGCTAATGCTACATTGAGTTTTTTAATGTCAGTATAAAGTTTTTTGTTCAAGTTTCAATTATATTCATCAAAACCTGAATGAATAGTTACAGAGGATTTACATACATGTCGTGTCTCTGTTGTTGGTGAGAAGTTAAGAGTATGTTCTTCGGAGGAGCATTTTCATAGAAAACTGAAAAAATGTCAGTTAAAATACATGTTTCAGCAAATGGAATAAGCTAAGTTTTTATCCCCACAATTTCTTTTAGTGTTCCCCAATGCAGACAGAGAGATGTCTGTTCACCCTGACTGCAGTGGCTGGCAAGCTGTATGCTGTGGGTGGCTCTAACAGTGTCCATGTGGAACTGAAAACTGTGGAGTGCTACTCTCCCCTTGAAGACAACTGGCAACAGGCAGCACCCCTTGAGGTCGGGGTGCATGAGCATGCTGGTAGGAAATAAAAAATGTTATATTTTTAAAATTAATTTTGTGAATAAGTATAAAACCTGTGTGACCTGTACATATGTTTGCAAACTGATATTTAAATATTTGGTACACAGTAAGAGGATATGTGCATATCACCCTGTCAATTGGCAAGAAAGTAAGATTTCATTACCTGAATTTACCAGCATACATTGAATATGCAGGTATATATATATATATATATATATAGTTGACTACAAATCATGTCTGCATGTGTATATGAAACAAATTCACACACACACACACACACACACACACACACACATATAATACTATGAATTAATCTTTCAGAGGTGACAGCCTCTCAATCCATTTTTAATGAAAATCTTTTAAAGCCATTTTCCCTCTCTCAGCTTGTGATTACAAGGGTCATCTCTACGTGTCTGGAGGTTTTGGCTACAAGAACACCACCCTCTGCTATAAACCTGAAGACAATGAGTGGACATCAAAAGCACCTATGATAAAGGAAAGGTCTTACCACAGCATGCTAGCAGTGGAAGACAAGATCTATGTGCTTGGTGGGTGTAGAAGATGTGGGCCAAGGACACCAGAGGATGATAATTTGGAAGATTTAGGGGTATGTGTGGGCACAGTCTATATTTTTCATTATAAGGCTCACAATGGATGAGAGCCTATTTATGACTCCTCCATCCCAGATTACCCCAAAAATTAGTCCCAACTTTGCCAAACTTTTTCTATATTGCAGAAAAATTCCCT